CCAATATGCATCTCCGTGCTGCCTACGAATAATTTTCAAACATAATTTGTCTTTCTATTTCTAGGTCTGATTTAATGGTAAAGAAATTAAGGTACTATGCAAGGTTCATTGTTGTTTGCCTCTTATTAAAAAGAATGAAATTAGTTCGAGAACTTGTTTCGGTGAGTAAATTTCTGTCGAGACTATGTTTCAGTCTCTAATCCTCAAAACTACACGTTTTTAACTGGAAAATATTGGTTTAATTTTTGAGAAATGACGTGTGTGGCTTTTAATAATAATTTGTCAGAACTTTACGAATGAATAATGCGAGTAAAAGCTGATAGTTTTCTTTGCATGCAAAGCAGAAAAAAAAGAGAGAAAAAAGAGAAAAGAAAAAAATCTTGTCTTTGAGGTGTTGGCTCTGATTTTTTTTTAAATTCGGCCCGTGAACAAGAATTTAGCTCACTAACGATCTGTTTCAAATACCACAGACCATAAGATACGTCATGAATTTATTTCCTTAATCATAATTTATTAAAGAATTTTAGCAAATCTTTTGTAAAATTAGACTGCCGGTAATTTTTTATTTAATTGTAGTTTTAAAGGCTACTACGTAATGTCATTGACAGTGTTCGAAACTCACCTTAGAATTTTAGGAGCCATGTGGCCCATCAAGCTCAATTTTTAGGGGCCATTGGAGATGTTTTAGGCACCAAATTGACTTTTTCCCAATATATCACGGCGCATTTTGTGAAAAGTCAGACGCAAGATGTTTAAGTTACACAAAATAGTAGCTGTAACTTGTAACTTTCGAAAAATCACCAAACAGAAAATTTAGAATTTTTTTTTTTTTTTGGGGGGGTGGCACTTTTTAGGAGCCACGTTGGCGCAGAACCGTCATTTTTTAGGGGCCACGTTGGCGCAGAGCCCTCATTTTTTAGGCGCATTTGGCGCGTTGGCGCCTGTGAGTTTCGAACACTGGTCATTGACAACTCTAGTTGCGATTCTAGTCAAGATTTGCCCCTTCCATTGAACACATAATTGATCCAAAAATATTTTATATAAAACTCTGATAAGAGAAAATGACACAATGACAATATGAGTCATAAATAGGTTGTTCATTTTTCACGAATTTATTAATTTATTTTTCAGGAACTAGATAAACAAATTGTAGATTATGCTAGCACGTATGAGCCAGATGACCAACTTGAATGGGCTCTAGTTTTAGACGAAATAAAATCATTTATCAAAGCTGATGGAGTTGTCAGTATCTTGCAGTCTGAGGCAAATACCGTATTCTTATCTCATAGGTGAGTCCATGGCCAGATTTTCTTGCGTAAGCTGACAGAGATTTGCACTACTTTTAAATCCCCATAATTCACCTGGTTCCCAAATGTGTTTATAGAGGAAAATTCAACGAGACACACTTGCGCCTGTTATTGTCGAACCAACAATTCCATTCTTTGATATACCTGAGAATTTCGATATGCTTCGATTTTTCGCACGAAAAAACAATACCACTTCTGGTTGGTTCTAGAATTCATTGACGGGTAACCAAATAAAGCTCTGAAAAAAATCTGGAAATCTGGAGAGCTCTTCAGAAAAATTAGTCACGATGTTTACTGAAGGAATTTTCCGTCAGTATCATTATATCGAATTTGACCCAAACAGTGACTATGACATTACCTTTTTAATCGCTACATGTATAATGAATTGATGTAGCCAGGGCCGGATTTACCTATTTGCCACCCATTGGCCGCGCCTGTATTTTGCCGCCCCCTTCTCATTTGTTTTGAAACATCAATAAAAGCCATCAAGTGAACGTGCCGGAGAGGGAAAGGTGCATGAGACGCGTTTACTCGCGTCGGACACATTTTTTGCGAAAGCCTTGTCAACACTACTAGCAAAAGTTCAAGGAACTTTGCGCAAAAGTTAAGTTCCGTAAACCTATCTCTGTGTGAACAAGGCCATTTGTAAGAAATGAACGTAAAAACTATGCAAGAACAAACATTAATGTGGTTTAATAATTTTAACTTCCGCGCTGACCGCGTTTGGCGCAATGCGTGAAGTATTCCTACAGTCTTGTAGACGCTATGCGTTTCACGCCGACCGCTGCTGACCGCACTGTGTTTGACGCAATGCGTGAGGTATTCATGTAGCCTTGTAGGCGCTATTCGTTTCACGCTGACCGCACTGTATTTGACGCGATGCGTGAAGTATTCATGCAGTCTTGTAGGCGCTAATATGTGTTATATGCCCACCGCCGCACCGAGGGCTACTCCTTTTCATCTCAAGTCCTCGTTATTAGAGTACCTATATTGAGAGAGTATGGCCACTGGGCCCCATGGAGAGGCTTAGGACCCAAAAATGGCGGTGCTTTGTTCTGGTTTTTGTGGATGGGAGGGGGGTCATTGCCAACTTTCGACGGTTATCACCAACCGCACTTGCTGCCAACCTTACTACATCTAAGATAATTTTTCTCAAAAATTGCACACGATTAGCCTTAAAAATATGTAAAGAAGTCGCAATAGTGCATTTGATTAAATTTCTCGTTACGAGAAGCAAAGGAAACTACATTTTCAGTCATTTTGCATCACATTAATTTATGGCGTCCGCCATTTTTGGGTCCTAAGGGCTCCATTCAGCCTAAGATGGCTGAGCCAATCAGAGGTGGTAACACCGGTCAAATTGCGTGTTTGGTTTCTCTATTAACTCGACTAATTAAAGGTGCTGCCTTTTGTATCACCGAAAGACGACAAAATTAGAAATTTCTATACTCTCAGAAAATGAGAGGTTTTGTCGCCTTTTGTCGTTTGTGATTTTTTTTCTGAATCCGATTTTCTTCTATGCCTATATTTAAAAAAGTCGCAAAATTTGCCGCCATAAGCCGCGGCCCATATGGCCACCCGCTAGATTCGGCCCTGGATCCGCTTTAAGAATTGTCCGTGATTAGAGCTTTTATCGGAAACCTTGCCAAAAAGACACTGAAAATAAGAACAGGGATTTTTTTGTCAACATCTGAAAATTCGGGGAATTTTTGAATCCAAGAAAACTTGTCGCCTTTGACTAAATTAAAAACTTAATTTTGAAATAAAACTAACATTTACATATATACATCTATTATCAGGAGAAAAGCTCACCTTGAAAAAATACTTATAAGAGCCAAGATTATGATTAAAACAATTTTAATACTTCGATTGCATTTAGCAAAAAGGAACCAATAGTATTCTAATGTCGCTAAGATTGTGCAACTTTTTTTACCTTGCAAACATAAACGATCGTCTAAACTAGTTTCACTTCTACTCCCAATAAACTATGAATTCAAGACGAAAATTACCGTCGTAAAGTTTACTTTTTGCAAAGAATGTACCTCGGTTGTTGTACCAAAGTTGCACAATCCCAGCAACATTGGAATGCTCTTAGTTCCTTTTTGCAAAATGCAATCCAATTGGTTGTTGCTGCAAAAAAATAGTTTCCCGCAACCTCCTGTACAATGCTCCAGTGACCACATAAGTTGGCCCAAGCACAACTTTTTCGGAAAGAACGGCTTTCCCCTTCCTGGTTTTTCACTTAATATCCGCCCGAGTTTCGCATATCTTCCGTTCCTCCTCATCGCAGCTTCCATCAAATCGCAATTGCCCGGAAACTAGGACCGCACATCTTATCTGATAAAATCGTTCGCCCTTTAAACCAATTCTGGGGGATTAGGCTAGACTAGTCGGTGAGTCAACTGTTGGTCTAATTTCATTACGTGAACGCAGAAGAAAAACGGGGTAAAAAAACACTAATGTGTGATCAATTTTCAAGGACAATTCTGTAATTTCTCCTACGATTTTAAATAGATTAAAACACGTAATATCCCAAATCTAAGGTCAGATTCAGATTCCTCGTGAAAAACTAATGCGATTTCATGCAACATATGTTAGAATAGCATGAAGGAAAGAGGCTTAATGACGTATAAAAACACTAATGTGTGATCAATTTTCAAGGACAATTCTGTAATTTCTCCTACGAGTTTAAATTGATTAAAACGCTTAATATCCAAAATCTAAGCTCAGATTCGGATTCCTCGTGAAAAACTGATGAGATTTCATGTATCATATGTTAGAATAGCGTGAAGGAAAAAGGTTTAACGACGCGTATAGATTCTGTCATACTCCCCGTTTGAACTACGCCGCCGCGCCGATCGCCCGAGTGAAACCTAACGGGGAGACGCCGGCGCTAAGCATTCGGTTTCGTCGCGAGGAATTCCTTCCGATAAATTCTTGTTCTTCCTCCTCCGCTGACCCACTGAGCACTACCCATGTTGCCACGTTGGATTCATATGCTCGAATCGGTATGCCTACGTTGTGTCTCTTTCCTCCACGCTATGCTCAGGTATGATACATGAAATTACATCGATTTTTAACGAGGAATCCGAATCTGAGCTTCGATTTTGGGTATCACGCGTTTTAAGTCACATTTTCCAACTTCAAAAATCCGAAATGACGGACGTGGCTGAAAATGCTATCTCGGCTCCTGTTCGATGGATTTCTGTGAAACTCGGTGTCAGGGTATGATACATGAAATCGCATCGATTTTTTACGAGGACTCCGAATCTGAGCTTCGATTTTGAGTATCACGCGTTTTAAATCAAAATCTGTCAAAATTCAAAAAATTCAAAATTCGAAAATCCGAAATGACTGAAGTGGCTTAAAATGCTATCTCGGCTCCTGTTCTCTCGATTTTCGTGAAACTCGGTATCCGGCGGTATTTTTCAACGGGAAAATCGAATTTTTGGTCAGATTTTCAAAATTTCAAAATCCAAGATTGCGGCCCCGACCTAAAATGCTAAGTCGGCTCCTGTTCGCTCGATTTTCGTGAGACTCGGTATCCGGCGATATTTTTCAACGGGAAACACGAATTTTTGGTAAGATTTTCAAAATTTCAAAATCCAAGATGGCGGCCGTGGCTTAAAATTCTAAGTCTGCTGATTGTGGATGAGGACAAAGATAATATATTCGCCACTATTCACCATACTTCGTTAAAAAAAAGTAAATTCGTTCTGTTAAAAGTTAATAGCTATGAGGGGCGGCTCGTGGAACGAGTCGCATGTTTATCGCGAAGCGAGGAACTGGGGGTCCAGGGGCACTCCCCGGCTAGGCGTGACAGCTCGCACAGCGAGCTGATCACGGCTAGTAGTTTATATATGTCTTGGATATGAGCGGCCCAGAGCCGCTATCCAGCGGCAGTGCGCTGGAGTTACTGCTTGTTTTTTTCTGAATCCGATTTTCTTCTTTGCCTTTATTTAAAAAAATCGCAAAAGCCGCCAAGAGCCGCGGCCCGTATGGCCTTCCTCTAAATCCGGCCCTGGATGTAGCGCCAGAAAGTCTATAGGTAGAATTTAGAAAGCGATTCGCCTTCATTTCATCAGTTATACAAAGCCCCCGCTTCAGAGTTGCAATAGTTGCATATGTAGAATTCTGTCCTAAGGCAGCTTATGTTACCCCGCCGCTGACTTGCAAGGGCATTTGCATTTTAACCTATGCCCTGGAAAGCACGTGCGAGTAGTTACAATGGCGACTCTTGAAAGTTGGCAACACTATCTTTCCTCCATTTGAATGTATGCAAAACAATCGATTCCTGGTGGGGCAGCTTCCCTCACCTATAATCGATATTTTTGATGGACTTAAATAGTGGAACAACAGTGTAAGAATCGCCAACGAGTAGTTATGAGGACGATGGGGCGCATAATTTACGCCTACGTAGTTACACCTTTATGTCGTAGGAGCGACGATTTGCGGGTAAAGAATTGGTACATACTTTTTTGTGCCAGAGTGGTGAATGGTGCGAGCTACCGACTACTTTATTCATTCTTTTTTTTCCAATAAATTTTTGAAAGTTTAAAGAATCGAATATTGCGTTCAACAAATATAAGAGATGCAACTCTGATTCTTCCATTATGATTTTCGGTTCAATGCTGGAAATGACGTGCAAAGACATTTGATCTGGAAGTAGAGTTAACTCCCAGAGGTTGAAATTCCGAAAATAAAATACTGGCACACAGTTCGAAAATATTTTCTATGGGTTCCTTCAGCATGACGCAGAGAGTCAGAGAGGCGAATCTTGCTTGGTACCAAATTATTATTGAATAAATTAATAAATTATAGAGTACACATGTGGTCCGGACCCGTGGACTGGGACGCTGTGTCATCATCATGTGATCACGCTGGTTTTCCCCTCCAACGTCTGAATCGCGGGAGACCATAATCCTTGTGTTGCTCCATTTGTCCTGGATAATGTATTAAAAATATCATGTAAAGAGCATTCGTCCCTAAAACCACAGTTTGCCAAATAAGTTATGTACATAGTTTTTACGCTTTCCTGATTGATCTTTTCGTTTTTCTCCTTAGGTTAAGTGCTTTAAACACACCCCCCGTTGAGAGAACACCCATGATGTGCTACTCTCTCCAGGAAATTCTCATCGTAGGAAATTGCAGTGATCAGGTAAATGTTATCCTTTTTTTACCTCGATAAAATTTTTACCACTTTTTGTTGGTTGTCATTAAAAAGACATTAATCAATATTTATTCAGTATTGACAAACTGGACATTTATTGTAAAAGTAGAAAAAAAAATGTGATTGTCAGAATATTGGAAATTCCTTCTGTATAATTTATTTAAAATGTTGGTAAACCATAAAACTTTACTGATACTGACACAGTTTGGAAATTATCATAGCCTCCAAGAGTATGACCAAACACCGCACGAAATATAAAATGAACTCTTTTCAGAGGCGGATCCAGCAATTTGGCAACATTGTCTTTTCTCCATTTAAACCTATACTAAATAATCAATTCTTGTCGGAGCACCTGGCCCCTCCAGAATCGATAGATTTCCATAGGTTTAAATGGAGAAAAGACAATGTTGCCAATTTGCTGGATCGGCCTAAGATTTGCTAAAAATCAATATGTCTAATCTAATTCTTCAATAGACTTGTACAGGCGCATTTCATTTATACTGTCCCGATTTTTCAGGTAAAATTTAGCGAACTGACGATGGACATGTTCAGAATGCTACAGACTTTTGAAAGAGAGCCTCAAGACGAGTACAATCATATTTATGATTCTTCTCCAGCGCCCTCTAGAGTACCTTTTGTAAGTATTTTTCGATTGGACGTATCTATGCTAAAAGGAACTATGCGCATAGGGTTTGCGCGAGACATAGTTCCTTTTAGCATAAATACGTCCGATTATGATAAAAAAAATTAACATTGAGAGGAAGTTAGCCCAGGTATGATCAAAATAAGTATTGCCTTCAAATTCCCAGCCGGTCTGCAAATATTCTACCTCAATGATAACTGTTGTTGCACATGCAAAGAGCAGAAGGCACACCAGCAGTTGGTACATTTAGCGCTAATTTTACACGGCGCACAGTGGCTCGAGTCAATAGGAGGGGTTGGACAAAATTTGGAGACTTTAAACGCTTATAATTCCGTTTATATAAAACTTTGAGGTTTTAAACGTGATTCCATCGGTTTGCTCGTGAATTTTTCTTCTGTAGGCACCCCTTCAAATTTAGAACATGACGAAAAAAACATTAAAATTTGCGGTTTTAGTCGAAAATTCCATGTCCGACCCCTCTGGTCGATTCGATCCGGTGTGCGGCGTTAGGAGTTAGCTAGGCTTGTTTCTTTCTAAATATCATGCCGAGCAAGAAATGCTTAATGTCTTGATCAAGGAGACCGCACATAACACCATTTTAAACTATTAATGTGATAATCCCTCATCGTGTTGCGATTTTTTATAAAGAAAAATTGCGCCAGAAAAGAGCAGCTATTGTTCTTTTCTTTTTTTTAAAAAAAAACCTCATACAACGCATACTATGAGCAACGAACTAGAAAACTTACATTAAATCTTGATTTTGTCGTTTGTTTCAGGATAAAAGTTATTCTGTGTCAAGTACAAAAGGCAGTGCCGGCTATCCAGTTATGTCATCGTGCCACGAGAATGGCGATAGGCCTCATAAGAGAGAAAATCCTCATAAGTACCTTTTATACAAACCTACTTTTAGCGACGTTATGGTCTTTTTAGCATCAGGTAATTACCCCCTTCCCCCCAAAGTTCCGAAATTACATGAATCCTTATTGCGATTATAAAGTTCAAACTGACTTTTGATGTTTAAAAATTGGAATTTGGGAGCGAATTTTTCAGAGAATATGCATCAAGACTAGTTTTACTTGAAATCATTAATACCTCAATTTTTTCAAAAACTGCACTTATGCGCCTTGTCCTCCAAGTCCCTCGATTCAGCTACCTTTTGTGCGAGGACTCAATTGTAACATTATTAAAGAGGCATATTTCAAGAATATTACAAATATTAAGAAATTCCTCATTAAATTTTAGGCTTAACAGTTTATAAGTGTGTATGTTTTCAGTACCCACAGGATTGACATTGCCATAAATGATGCTATTGATAGCCATCTTCATTTTTACTGTAATTTTGCTTTTTTTGATTTTCAGGTTTCAAAGAACTGCCAAGCAATGGTGCTCTCTTACTTTACATTTCGGCTGATGCCTCTTTTTCTTCTTCTTCCAAGCATCCGGTGGATAGTAAGTACTCATTGTTACAATTCTGATCTTATGTTTATGCCATCTCATTTATCTATCATCGGCATAATATCTATCTACCCTCAATATTTCCTAATTATGAAACATAAGAGGCGCATTATTTTATTTGGACGTCTGAAACAAATAGAGAAAGAAAAAAAAACCCTACGTATAGGTATAGGTTTGATTTTACATTCTGTTGTAAAAGCGCCTTTTTTCGCACCTCTCACTATTTGATACATCATTTCTGCCAAATGACTCACACTTATGGGCGCTTCAAAACATTTAAAAGAAAACTGTTATTCATTTGCATACCCAATACTTTGAAGGCGTTTTCCAAAGCAGGCCAGTGTCTTTTAACACAAAATTTTACAATGTCCTGTTTTACTGTTTCTAACTCATCAACAAAAGCACCTAGCTGCATAATGACACATACATTGTTTCAAAAATGAGTGAGAAATAGTGCTTTCATATTGCAAAGTGTAGTCTATGGGACACAATACAATCCTAATACTCCGATTTCTTTCCATTCTAGTGGGATACGATTTAGGTGGAGTTCGTACAAGCTGTAGAAAAGATGTAGACGCTAATATGAAAAAAGGCATTCATTTCAAGGAAATGCATTGGTAAGAATTTTTCTCTTGTGCTTTCTGATACTTCATAAAATAAAAGTCACTTGGAAAGAAAGAAGAAGAGGAGGGAGGCCCAAACATTTTTCAATTTTGTCAACAATGCAAACTTGCATACCAACGGTGTAAGTCGACGATCACATAACTCGGTTTGCGGCGTCTCAGACTTCCTGTCATACTTTAGTTTTTAAACGGAAAAATACTTGGCGGCAATTCTTTAAACCTGCCGTGATTTTTCTTCTCTGCGCGAAGAAAACTCTGCAAAAACTTTAAGGAATGATGTCAATTTGTTCTCCTTTAAAAAAATAACATAGGGGTGGTGATTTTCAGACACCGGAAACGAGATGTGATTGCGGACTTACGCCGTCGATACATATACTGCGCAGGTGGGTTTCAGGACATTTTGTCAACGATTTTTTGTCCGCACACCTTCTTTGTCCAGTAGTTTACGCTCACACGTAAAATGAGCAACGGTGACTTGGTCCAAGCGTTATATTTTAGTCCGTATGTAAAATATTGACAGGATGGAAATGAGAAATTGAGAGAGAAGGAGGTGTTATAGTTGCTCATTTTCGAAATGAAATGTTATTACTTTCTCCCTTTGAATCATCTTTTTAAATTGTCATCGGTGAATATTTGGTTTTATTTTTATCCTTAAAATATTCGATGTACTATATACCTTATATATGTAAAGTACTTTTTTTTCTTTACGAAATTATTACTTCATTTTGAAAACATTTATATTTTTAAAACGTGACAAATATTTGTAAAACCTTTTCCAAGCGACATTAATCTCAGTGAGCCGCAGTTGTGCCGACAGAAACTAGAAAAATAAATAAAAGAGGGGAAAAAACCAAGAAACACGCAAATCTTTAGTTTTAACCCTGTTTGTACATCGATCATTTAGAGTCAAATACGTCAAATTTTGAGCGTTTGGTTGCGCGTGCACCTCGCTGCAGCACAATAAAAGCACAAAATGTAAAAGAAAGTACAGATCTTTTCTCGCAAAATAAATCAAGATACTTATCGTACAAAAAATCGTTGACGAAATGTCCTATAACCGCGCAGGTGACTTTCAACATGTGGATTATTTCACTATAGAAACTTTTCGCCTCCCTTAATTTGAAAATCTGAATTTTTTTAAATGCACCCATCTTTCATATTCTTTGTAAAGACATTAATAGTCTAAGACTCTGAATGTCTCTAAATAAATTAATTAGGTAACTTTTACTTAAGTACGTCCTCTTTGGAAATGAAACAGTATTCGTCAATTTTCTCTGCTATTATACTCGACTTTGACACTGAAATAATTTTTAAGGCGGTGTTAGAGCTTCTATAGTTAAGTATTTTGTCATCAAGACTGCGGATAAGGCTTCTTTAAACTTTGAAGGAGATTTTAGCACCACAATTCAGGTTTTGCATTAAAAATTTGCCGAAAAATTAACATTTCACTTGTGATTCTAACCACGCAATTTTTTTTATGATCATCGTCTGTCAGATACTCTTGGTCTGAGACATTAATTTAACATTCTGTTAAGTGCATGTCCATTCTGCAAAAATTTGCGCTGATTTTATCATACGATTTGCAGCTTTTTATTCACTAATGCGCATTTATTTTGCTTTCTCTACTTGTCACAGCCTATATCCTGGTGATCTCTACCCATTCACTAGGAAACCTTTTTTTGTGATAATCGATTCTGACAATAGTTTTGTGTTCGAAAATATACCGAGGTATTTTGGCCAACCTCTCGTAGTGCTCATGTCTCCTCAAAATATTCCTGAAAACTTCCTCGGTAAGTTCTCCATTCACTTTCCATCTCATCCTTTGAGATAAGAGTTAAGAAACAAGAAAATTCCAATGCTTATTATGTCAAACGATAACTTATCTAAGAACGTATAATCCGTCTGTACAGCATTTGAAAAGCATGTTTGCAATTTTAGGTGAGAAAAATATAAAGTGAGGTGTATTGCAGAAACCGATCATGCAGCCAACGCTCAATACGCCCAATTTTTTTTTAAGATGCAACACGTACGTACACATACGTCAAACTCAAGCAGCAACAGTTGTGTTCAAGCCACCAGACACCATCAACTATTGCCATTGGCTAGTTAGTTGATTGTACACATCTCATTCAGAGAGTGTTAGACGTAATGCTCTTTTTTTAGAAATCGATGCTGTTTTATGAAAACTTTAAAAAATATCCCTGCTTATTATTTCAAAGAGAAAAAAAAAATCAGAATTTTTAACAATCACCGCCACAATGTACACTATTTTAAAAAATGAAATGAAAATAAATAAGATATATCTTAAGACATGGTCTAATAAATTTTTTCATTGAAATTAATGATATCATTACGTCTCAACGGACATTTTCCTACTGATTATGGGCAAACCTAAAATATTCCTTTCAATGATTTGACGTAAAAATGAGAGTACCTACTTCAAATTATTGTACGTAGGTTCATTATATGCAGTCCAAGGCTACTTGGTTTTAAAAAAGGGCCAAAACTTTTATCTCTTGTGACTCGGGTACTTTGAATCCAAAAAATAACTGAAAGTTAAATTTTGAGAGCAACGTGGAGGCCCGATTTTAATTAAAGACAGACTCCGGAAATCAGGACAAACAAACTCTAAAATTTTAAACCCGTTAATTTTAAACAGTTTGAATTTTCCAAACTATATTGGCAACTAGATTAAACAAATAAGAAATCTAGTATCAGCATGATCAATTTGTAAAAAGAAAAAAAAATTGACATCAAAATGTTTTCTTGGCTCCTTAAAGAAGGGAGGGAGCTAAAATTGAGAGGCTTTGGAGGACAAGGCGCATAAGTGCAGTTCTTTCTTTTTCAAGAAATACGTGTTTAAAGTTTCAAAATAATATGAAGCCTTACGGCGGAAAGGTAGTTCAAACTCACTTTTTGATGCTTTATAGTTGGATTTTAGTTGTGAATTGTTCATAAAATATACTTTCAAACTAGTTTTAGGTGAGTTCATGAATATCTCAATTTTTTTTCAAAAACTGCTCTTATGCGCCTTGTCCTCTAAGCCCCTCAATTAATGAAATAGTAACATCATTTCAGTTGAAACTTTGACTTGTCAGAATGAGCTCAAACTACATAAATGACGATTTGATTTTGCAGATTATCAGAAGTCAGCGGGTAGCCTGTTCACTTTGTTTCTGCATAGTCCGTTAGCTGCCTTTTGCTACGTGTGCAATGTCAACTCTGTACCTTTCCACCACTGGGAGCGGTGTCAATCCTTCGTCGACCGCTTCATTACTGAAGCCAGCCGACTTTTCACGCATAGCAGAATAGGTGAGTCTCTCTCTCTTAAGGTGACTCTATGCTATCTAGGGACGAGATTCTCCACATTATATCGCTATCTCTCTCTTATATGTACACATTGAGTCAATGAACGAAGTCTGTTCTCGTAGTTTCAGGTATAAATTTACAATGAATCTTAACAAATTTGATGTCATTCTTCTCAGTGTTAATGCTGCTACACGTTATGGATCAGTTTCTCTTGTTAACTTGTATGCAACGATAATTATTGCTTCTCAAAGACACAAACCGCATAGCAGCGCTATGTAGTGGTGAATTTCGTCCCTAGATCACACAGATTCCCCTCAAATGCGACTTTTTTCTTGGATTTGCCGGATAGCACATTTTTTTCTGTTACAAAAAGTAGATATAAATTATTATAGAAAAATGTAACTAAACCTGAAAAATACCAAAACCCACTTTCGTTGGAAGTGGTTCCTCAGAACTCTCGAGAACGGTTCGATGGTCGAACGATCAGTTGATAATTTCTAGATTTTAGGAAATTTCTGATTTCCGAGCATCACATTCCGTTGCAGAATACGCCAGGTATAGGCACACACAATTTGAACAAGAAACATTTTGAAATCAATATAAAAGTACGTCTGTAGGAAATATCGCAATTAAATCGAAAGGCAACACGACTCGATTTCGCAGTTGTTCTTTTTCAAATGTTTCTTGATCAGATTTCGTGCACAAATACCCGATATACTATAGCGTTATGTAATGCACTCCAAAGCGTGAGTTTTTCAGTATAAATTTTCAAATTTAAGGTGATTCGATGGACGCCATAGTTTGTGTCAGAACGATGTGCGATATATCGCATCGATTGGCTCCATTTTTTCAGCTACTAATAATTTTTCTTGAATTTTGAGATCGCAATTCTGTTGTCAGGGGACTAAAGCACTCACTTACCAATTTTTACAAACAAATTCAACGTAATAAAGGCGTGGTTTTTTTAGAGAGAAAACATCGCATTCGATACTGATATCGAAACTGCACTCGAATGCGATAGTTTCTCTCTAAAAAAAACCACGCCTCTATTACGTTGAATTTCTTTGTTAAAATTGGTGAGCGAGTGCTTTAGTCTCCTGACAACAGAATTGCGATCTCAAAACTCGAGAAACATGACAAGTAGCTGAAGAAATGGAACCAATTGATGCGATATATCGCATGCCGTTCTGACACAAAATATGGCGTTCATCGAATCACCTTAAGTAACAGCTTTTAGTGTGTTTTTTTAATTTATCGATCGTGAGTGTCAAATATCGAATCGTTTCTCAAAGTGTTGAACACCACCTTGAAATTTTTTCTGTTTCAATCTACTTTTACAATTGCTGCAAGAATCTTTCGATGGTTTCAACATGTTGTATCGTAGGACCTGGTGTCTCATACGCGTAACGTAAGTGACGTATCATACTGCCATGCTAGGAAAAAACGTCGTATAAACGTTCAGGCGTTGCCAAATCTCTTTTCCTAAAACTCAAATTTCCTAGTAAATTTATGAATATTTTCCTCCCAATTTTTCAGATATTTTAGCACATTATTTTACCTAAAGATTCGGAAAATTTAAAGGAAAAATATTCATAACTTTCCTCAGAAATGAACATTTTATTGAAGGAAATTTGGCAACTCCCGAATGTTCATACAGCGTTCTTCCTTAGCACGGCAGAATACGTCAACGTCAATGAACCGATAGGTGTGTTTATATAAGATCCTTTTAAATAGCCTAAACGATGGGGCATCCTTCCTTAGATGTATCAATCACCCTAGGTCAATGCCGCTAGAACTTTCATGAAGTAAGAAAAAAGCCCTCACTGCATGTAGAAAAAATATTCTTCACTGGTACTCCAAAACCAGATTTTTTTAAGCCCTACTTTGAACTGATTAAATATTTTCTTCCTTTTTTACAGATCCAGCCTTTATTCCATTTTTTGGTGATGATTTTTTAAGACTTATTCTATTAAGATACATATTTTGTGATGTAGTGCTTCATCTTCATAAAGGATTTCAAGTGAGTGTTAATGGATATTTCTAGATTTTAAAATGAATCACATCTACCTCGAATCAGCCCATGTGATGTTGAGACTTATTTTTACAGTTTGGTCAGGTTCTCCCCCCCCCCTCCAAAACTTGATCTCCACACCCTCACCCTCAATCTAATTAGAGCATGAGGGCTGAGGTAAAGTTTTTTTCGCTGGCGAAGAACATGAAAGCCGAATAAACTCAGAATTTTTATAAAGCCTAAAACAAAATATATATAAAAAACAAAAAAAAAACAAAAAAAACAAAAAAACTCAGAATTTTAAGTCAGGAACCCTCAATCACCCGAACCGACTCTTTTGGTCAACGGAAGCGAGGCTAGGTTCAGTTCAAGGAATTGAATAACTGTGATTCATACAAACTTCCATATTAACTGACATTTTTCGGTTCAGTGGATTTAACCTCGGTTAATTGTCAGATCCGTCAACTAGACAGGTCGGCTGAATCAACTGAAGATTATTTAGTCCTTATTGAAATGAGAAAGCATCTATTGAACGTATGGGTCCCCAAACAAACCCGGTGCGGAGCGGAGCGCCGTTTTTTTTTTTTTTTTTTTTTTTTTTTTTTTTGTAGATATGTTTTGTTGAGGTATTAAATTTTATTTTATTTTAATGAGTAATATGAAACTAATTGTTTTTTTTTTAAAAAAAACAAGTTGATAATCAAAAGTTTGGCCCCAAAAACGCTCTGATGAATCGGAACAAAATTGATGATTAGAAAATCGATGACCAGGTCATCGCCAACTGTCTTCTTGCTGAATTCTGCGGCGCGTTATCTATTATTGTATTCGATTGCGACCATTTTAACAATTTTATCCGCATTATTGTTGCAGGGTTCGAGGCAGTTCAGACCTCAGTGTGCACCGATGCTTCCAGAAGCGGAACTTTTGGACCACCCCTCTTTATATCATCTTATTATAGACCTGGCCGGTCTTCTTAAAGTTAGAAGTTTTTTCATTGAGAACGCTGAACTGGAGTGAAACCATCCCTAAACTTCCTGTACTCAAACCTCTCGGTCAGCAAACTGTTACCGTCATGAAACCAATACCGACAGAGTCTAATTTACACTTTTATTACGAGTACGTGTTCAATATTTAATAAGTATCGATTTATCTCCATTGACAACATTAAGATGATTGTACAGCGCCAATTCGCTGCAGGCGTTAGTAGGCATCCACTACCACGACAGATTTCGAGTGAGGGCATTGATTTATCCTGATTGAAATTTTTTAAACGTATACGTGTTTATTTGAATCAAATTTAGTACGATCGATTTATCGAATTTTATCCAAATATAGTATGTTTTGAGACTATCAATGATAATCAGTCGATACCAATCGAATTCGTTCGATAATCATGTGACGTAAGACTAATGGCATCTACAACAGCTCTGAGCGGTTGCTGTAATTAAACTGAATTTAAAACAATTGATTGGAAATTTAATTCGATGAACAACATAATCTTTTCCAATGATTCTCTAGAGTGGGTGGAAATTGCAGAACTAATCGGTGCTTGCACTGTTGTAGCATCACGTCCCAGTACACAACAGCTAGGCCCACATCAAGGTCCTGATGCCGCCTTTTTAGAATCAGGAGGAATAGTAAAGTTGAACGCTACAAGAAAAGATGCCATGCACATCAAGAATGGACCAAAAATTTCCATAAGCAGGTTTACTATTCCGCCCACATTAAAGCTGGAGGTGTTAGAATCAATCCTAATTATAAGGCGATTAAATTGATCATGTTTTACACCTTAGGTTTTGGAATTCAAAGCCCCTGAAAAACTGATATCATAAAATAAAAAGTGGACCGTTAATAAGCAAATCATTCACAGGAAAAGTAATGAGAGCACTAACGACGTATTTTGCGCATATAGTTTAACTATGTGTTTTTGTGCCACATTTATCATAAATGGCTGTGACTTTCATCGCTCTGTTATCAAATCGTATGGGTACAAAAATATTGAAGAAAATATCGAACAATTTCATGAAGGGAAAAAATTAATTACTTTGTAATTCAGGAACTTTGCAGCCGACTTGGTTTGTATCATGTCATTTTCTTCGATTTGGTCGCATTTAGACTGATTTTTTAGTTGGTAAATCAAAGCGCAAAGACGCTCATCGGGATCAAAATGTTACAAAAAGAAAAAGAATAAGAAAACTTGTAGCTAAACAGCAAGATCATAACGTTGGGTCGTCAAAAAAATACCCTCAATCATTGCACGGCCCGTTTTCGCGAAAATTTAGAAGGCCGCGCGGCGTGCGCCTTCAATTCTTGCATAGGCAACAAAGACAACCGTCGAGTAGATTTAGTTGTATCAAAGTTGCCTTCAATGTTGGGTCACATCAATTGAAGGCGTCGTGTTCTGTTTCCGTTCACTGTAAATTAAACGCTTTTCCCTCTCTTTTTCCCTCTCTCTCTCCCTCTCTCCTTGTAATCTTACGGGTCCAGTTTGGCAATCATAAAGATAGCTCTAGTTTAAAGATTGCGGGCATTTTCAAAACACCTGACGCCTGACGCTGCCGTTATTATTCATAGAAATATTAAATTAAAGTAAATCACACGATTTACTCGCATTTTTCTTCTCACCAATTCCTATTCAGAAAAACTATGTATACTATGTCAAAAGCCGTGTATCAAAATCTTGAGTTTTTGACTGCAAAAACTGTTCGTTATGATACATATGAGCTCGAGATTTTATCGGCAGTTGAATTGAGGATTTTTTCGCTTGAATTCATTTTATATTTTTTAATGATTGTGAAATACAGACGCTAAAAAGCTTAAGAGCCAAATTCTGTCGATCAGCCCCTCTCCGACGTTCAGTTTTTTCTACCCCTATACTTTTCTACAATTTTTTTTAATTTTTATGCGCTCTAAGAATGAACTTTTAAGAATAATTCCTACGGGCAATGACATTAGTAATATCTTAAATCGGCCTCTCAGAATTAAGAGCATTTTAGAGTGCAAGTGTCAAAATACAATTAATAATTTTTATATCTAATAAATATAAATACTTATGACTGCTTAATTTAAATATCTTAAATTAAATCAAGTTTTCAGAAGGGTAACAGTTGCTAGAGGCACCGAGAGGGATATGGTCGAAGAATCCAAATTTTTGCGCATATGACTTAATTTGGACGCACATTTTGCAATCAGAACCTACTTTTTACAGTTCGTTTTAGAAACAACATATATGCTATTAGGCTATCCACGCAGATAGGTTCTTTTAAAGATGAGCCAGGAATTGTAGCTCCTGATTGCAAAACGTAGTCTATTTGGTCCCTTCGATAGACACAATTCTATTTGTTTTATTGTATAAGAAAATTATTGCGAAAAGGGAACCTTACCGGGAAAATGCGGTTGATTCCAAGTCAAATAGACCGGCCGGTAATTTTTTTCTTTTCCATTTTTTTATCCAAATAGTTAATGTTTATAAGTTTCACTCTTGTCGACATTTTTCGAATGTAAGTTACACCCGAGAAAATTGAATGGTTTTCACTTTGAAGACCATAGCCAAAAGATACATCGTACGAACGCATTGAAAGAATTTATTAAGTCTGATTTTCTTAACTTTAACGACTTTCGAGCGTTCTTTTTCTCTCCCCCATCAAAGTCTGAAATGTTAGCCAACTGGCTTTGATTCTCGTTGGTACTTCCCAACCGCTGATAAATTCGTGTTTTCCTTAGGCAATTTTTCCTTTACTTTTGAGTCGCTTCCATTCGTTGGATCCTCTGTCTGCATGAAGATTTATCATATTCAAATATTTTTATAATAAAATTAAAACTGTATTTGTGAGTATATTACTATCATTGTTATTCCACGGTGTTTCGAGAAAATTAAGACAGCAAAGATGGAAACAAAAGTATTGATGCTAATTTTTCTGTATAAATGTTTTAAATTTGTTTGAGAATCGCTACATTTTTTATTCGTGGTAAAAAATAAAGTTCATCTTTGAGAACTTCCCCGGAAGTTTGCCTACGTGATATCCTCTCTATGGCCCATTTTATTCAATAAATCGTTGAAAAAAAAATTGACTTCTTTTCTTATCTTGATTTCTATGCTCATGCTCATTCCTGACAGCTGAACAAGAGATCGCAAACTTAGCTTACCCTTTAAAAGGTAGCAACGTTACAAAAACGTTTCTAACAGAAGTGCAAATATTTCTGGATGGCGACTTTGTTGCGATGATGCTACTTCATCTTTCAATTATGAGATGTCTGGCAAAATTGTCCCCTTATGAATGTAATGCGAGGACCGATAGGACCGGTAAAAATGAATGAATAAGACGAAATCAAACGAAACAAAATGATCCTAAATTGTTCGGCACAGTCAAAAAAACCTATTTGGGGTATAAAAATATTGATTTCAGTTTTCAATGCTGTTCGGTCTCCATTCATCTTGCAAATCATTATTAAGCGTCTCTTGAGCAAAAACCCATCTGAGCTGTGATGTGGTGGTCTCATTTTCTTTCCTCCTACCGACCCCCTTAACCCTTTTGCCTGACTTTATCAAAAAATTCATCGATTCGCATCTTAAATTGGTGTATATTGATATTGCATTAGCATTGCATGTATATCGACGGTGAAAGTCGGCAATCACATAACTCGTTTGCGGTGTCTGAAAATCTCCGCCTCTACGTCATTTTTTTAAATGAGAACAAATTGATATTATTTCTTGAAGTTTTTGCAGAATTTTCTTCGCATTGAGAAGAAAAATCATGACAGTTTTAAAGAATTGCCGTTGAGTAGTTTTCCATTTAAAAAATAAAGTATGACAGGAAGTCTGCGACGTCGCAAACCGAGTTATGTGATTGCCGACTTTCACCGTCGATATGGACATTAAAAACATCGGACCTAATCACATCGGCGCGCAATTCATGAGCATACCACAAACATTATCTTGGTAAGAATGTGACGAACTAAGTGAGGACTGAATGGAAAAGTGGCGAATTGGATATTTTAGATTATAGAAAGTGCCGTTTGGCCGGAAAGCCTCCATTTCAGTGGAAAACTATTGGACGGAGGACTTCCGAGAGGAGCGTCTTTTCAAATTTCGCGCTTTTTTGTGGTGAACCATTCATTCTATCTCATTGGCCGATGTCATGCAAAGGTACCACTCCACAACCCAGTTATCGATACGGTTTACAAAAGAAAAACTCTGGAGTCTCGTGGTTATTTGACGTTGATTGGAATCGAAGAGACACAAATACATTAAAATCAATTAAAATTCGCCATAAACTATCTTCATGAGCTCACTATTAGCTAAATCAGGACAATTACTTTGAAGCCACGATGACTTTTTTTCACTAGAATGACGACACACTTGATGTTCGCCACGTCCAGCTAGCAGTTCAGTTTGTTTACATTTTGTGTTATCACTTCTTCGCGGACTGCTCTACAGTTGCACATTTTTTTCATCTCCACCGGTATTTTCCTCAAACGTTAAAGTTTCTCCAGCATAATTTTGTGTGCTGCTGAAGAAACATCGTACCTTTCTTCCGAATTTCAACATGGATTCACTGGTGACCTGCATCGCACCCGTGAACATAGCTGTTATAAAATACTGTAAGTGAACTTTCTCTCCCATTATTAATCCTCACTGATGCAAAAGTAAAATATTTTGAAAAGAACTTGCCGTCACATTTTTGCTGTTTATCTAGAGGAAGAGTTGATGATCACGCTTGCCGCATCTGTTCTTCTTTAAATAAGTGGAAAGTACGTACCCTATGTTTTGACACGTTCATGTAATTGCTACCTACTTTTTTCGAGCAAACTGATATTTCTCTGAGACGATCAAAATGACCTAACTTTTATTGATCATTTCAAATGGTCGTTTCATTAACTGCCTGAGGCTAAATATTGAAGAGATTTCATTACGTGAGGATCTTGTTTATGAAGCACTACAGTAATATGTACCTAGATGGTAGCGTTTCTTTCTGCTACTTATCTATCTCTTAAGGGATTACCATTAAACATTTTTGCTCAAAATTTTATGTCATGAGACTATCAATTATCTGATTAAGAGGTGTTAGTTACCCGGATTCTGGAGTTGGGTGAGTTTAAAGTCTCACAATAATTGATGCATTTCCAACTGCCCTCTTGAGTCCTTCCCTGGAACTACAAACTACCCACCTTATAATCATTAACGTAGATAAATTTTGCACCACGTTTTCTATTCTTCAGCTTTTCTTCCTACATCCTTGTCGCTCGGGCTCGGACTAGCCATAAGGCCAATCTGCCATTGGCAGATACGCCCCCTTTGTGCGCCAAAAACGCGCCCCTCTCACAGATAGCAAAATAAGAAGAAGAAAAAATTACGACTGAGAATATGTGAAAAAAATTTCTTAAATGAACGGAAGAAGAGAGAGTTAGGAGTAAAGAAAGGTGCTTTAACGCATGATAGTGGTGAACAGAGGTCCAAGAACAACTTTGTGAAGCGTAAACAATTTTCTGTGAAATTTTCACCTTCTTCTTGACATACAGGTGCTTTGTAATCCCCCTCCTTCATTCGCTATGTGTAACTCCCTTAAAAGCGATGGTTGGTTCGATTTTTAGACATACGCATCCTTTCTAGACCTCTGAAGAGACCTTTAAACTTATTTCCTACTTTTCAAATGACTATTGATTTGGACATACCATAGCATAGCTTAGGGCAAACTTAACCTTAATTTATCTCGAAATTCAAAAATAAGAGACATCTAAAATGTAAACGCGATACAACTATTTGCGCAAGATGGATGTCTACATTGCATATGAAAACTGTAAGACGCGATGCCGTGAGTCGTGAACTCGCAATGCTCTGCTCTAGTTTGAAGCAACCTTACAAATAAGACAAACGCAAACAAACACAATATGAAAATAAAGCGAGGGAAAGGATGCGCGTTAACGACGGCGCAGAGATACAACTATTCGTACTTGATGGACGTCCGTGCTGCATCTGGAAAATTGAAAGCGCGATGACGCGAATCGTGAGCTCTCAATGCTCTACTTTATGCTGTCAATGAAGCGTCGCTCTGATTCGGGAGAAAAGTTTAAAAAAGGCCTGAAGACATCTCTCCTACCTTCGGCTGTATTACTCACGTAGTGCTTGAAGCACCATTACGGATAAGACAAACGGAAACAAACACGATATGGAAAAAGAGGGAGGGAAAGGATGCGTGTTTACGACGGCGCAGAGATACAACTATTCGTTCTTGATGGACGTCCGTGCTGCATCTGAAAAATTGAAGGCGCGATGACGCGATGCGTGAGCTCTCAATGCTGTGCCACGTTCAATTTTGCAATTTTTACTCCGTGCGATCAATAAACTTTGAACCTGAAAATATCGTAAACTTGTGCTGATTTGTCAAAATTTTCTGAACCCCTCTCCACGTAGGGAATGCCCTACCAGAAAATATCACATTACGCCCCTTTAACCAGCCTAGAGTCTACACCCTCAGTTGCGAGCCAGTCCGACCCTGTTGTCGCCAACAACCATACCTCGCTACGCTGAAAGGAGAAGTATTTTTTTCTTGACTGCACATGCACTGCAACCGAAAGTGCCGAAAGAGTTGCTTTTGGATTGCTGAAGTCGAAACATGCGTGTCTTCGGTTGCGACATTAGAAATTGCTGCTGATGTTTTATTTTTTTCATTCATTGAAAAATATTCCCAGAAAATAATTTTATGGAGATGCTCAGTTTCGTTCACTTTCTCTTAAAAAATAAGCCGAAATGGAGATTATGTTCCAATATTGTGACACATTTTTTTACTCCCGGTCTATCGATGGCTAAACTGAGAAACCTCGTATCGCAATGGAAACGTCTCAAAATTTTAGACAATAGCAACTGAGTTCTTACGCTTTTTTACATTTTGATAAGTGTTCGAAGCTTGGAATCGGTATTTTCTTTGGAAAGAGTTCAATGCATGCGTGTACAGATTTTTCTGAAATTTTTTGCATGACATATATTAATTATTTTCAGTCCAAGAAAACTTTTGAGGAAGGAGGACTACCTTTTAAGATAAAAATACTTGGTATGTTTTCGGAAATTTTGAAAAACTAGGGGACTTTGCCCCCTGGCCACCACGCGGCCCAATCCCCGGGCGTGGCGCTTCGCGGCCAGCTAAATCTCAAACGAAAAAAACCACAGTATTATTATGAATTAAAAAAAAAAAAGAAACTATCAATCGCCACTTACGGACGGGACTCCACTTACGGGAATATCCCACTTACGGACTTTGAACGCTCCTTCCTCACCCCAACCCATCCAGCGTCTTTAAACTGATTTTATTAGAATAGAGAGGATGACAGTTGAGTCATGTGCCACTTTTGCCTCCAGCTCATCGGCTTGGGCGCGCTTTTTTCGGAACGAAGTAAAGGAATAATTTTTTTTTTCTCTTTCTTATTGGTGTGTTAACAACAATTTACAGAATATGTAGGTATTCAGTTGACTTTGGACAAGACGCCTCACAATTATGATCACCGGCATTTCAAAACGGGTGGGGAGGGACTTAGCATTCTAAAATCTCCAGCAGATAGCGCTAGCGGTGCGGTTCTCAAATGAAAGAGTATATTTACAATTTAAAGTCAACATCACACCATACAAAAGCGCCTTAAATTATTTACGGCTAGTGCCATAACAATACAAAATGTATTCGAAATCACTGTTAAAAGATGTTATCATAAGTTGGTCGTCCGCTATGGGTATTCTCAACCGAGACCTCTGACTCCGAGTTTTCTCGAAGTGCTCGATGCCTCCTCCTTCCATGTTGAACACACCATTTTCACTCCTCCCTCGTTTATAACCTCCTGATTCTGTCTTCGGTGTTGACACATCGCCGTGATCGATCTTCCACGACTTCCCGGCGTATCATGGCGAAAGAATGCAGAATCCAGAGGAAAACAATGGCACCCACGATCATCATCACAAGAAACGCGAGAATGTAAAGGACGTTGAATACTTGCACGAATTGTACAGCCATTTGCAGCCCAGTCTATTCTGAGAAAGTGGACCCGCTCGGGAAAGAGGACTGCGCGGTATCGACCACATTTGCGGTCATATTCATCATCTTTAATTTGGAATGGATCCTCGACTTAAATTTTGCTTTTTGATAACCTAAATCTCTTGTTAGGTTAGCCCAAAGATACTTCTAAGCAGGGTTGCCACAGTCGGTGACAACCCGAAAAAGGTCAGGGAAAACCTGGACCTGGAAATGTCTGGGGAAAATTGATGAGCTCTTTATTTGTTTCCTAGAATGGGTTTGACGTTTCGAACAACAAATTTTGCCCAAAAACTATTTCTAATTATGTCTTTATGACTATCTGGCATATTACAGGCGTCAGTCCGCAATCACATCTCGTTTGCGGTGCGAATATCTCCGCCTCTAAGTTATTTTTTTAAAGAAGAACAGATTGACATCACTCCTTGAAGTTTTTGCTGAATTATCTTCGCACAGAGAAGAAAAATCACGGCAGTTTTAAAGAATTGCCGTTGAATAGTTCTCCATTTAAAAAATAAAGTACTTACCTATGACAGGAAGTCTACGACGTCGCAAACCGAGTTATGCGTGATTGCCGACTTACACCGACGCTATGTTCGATGCAGTCAGGCCAGACCTTTTAAAGAGCATGCGAATACCCGCGCTTTTCTCCAGATTAAGCTTTTGATACTTTCAATGGGTCTACAATCATTCATTGGGTGCCACCTCTGGAAAATTCAATGAATTTATTCTCTTGAAATTGTGAAACACAATCGGAAATTCTGTCGAATCGTTGCAATTTGGAAGTACCCGTTTTTCTACTTTTCAGTCATCGACAATCTGCCCTAACTTTCCACGCCTGGATACGTACCTAAAGTAACTAACGCATGCTGAGTTTGATTTTGAAAGAAGAAGAAAAACAAACAAACATCTCATCGAATTCTCTTGATTCTGAATTCTTTCATTTTGTATCAACCGTTCTGTCTTTCTGATACACTGGCGGATATTTCGGTGGTTCGCTCAGAGCACAAATCCTAAAAATGGTTATGAGGTTGCAATTTGGCCAATGATAATACACGATGTGGAATAATCTCCATATAATTTAATTAAATATTAGCAAATGTGCATTTCTTTCTCTGATTATTACGGGTTGGCTCCTGCCCTCTCTTCGCATAGACAGGGCCGGATTTACCTACTTGCCGCCCCCATCTCATTCGTTCTGAAACTTTAATAAAAACCATCAAGTGAACGTGCCGGAGGGGGAGGGGTGAACTCGTGTTAGACACATATTTTGCAAAAGCCCTGTCAACACCACTAGCAAAAGCTCACGGATCTTTGCGCGAAAGTTAAGTTCCGTAAACCTATCACTGTGTGGACAAGGTCTTCCATTTCTAAATATTAAGCGAGAAAATTATGAAAGAACAATTATACATGTGGTTTAATAATTTTAGCTTCCGCAGCGGCCGCCGCGCCCCGCTGACCGCACTGTATTTGGCGCAATGCGTGAAGTATTCATGCAGTCTTGTAGGCGCTAATATGTGTTACGCGCTGACCGCTGCCCCGAGGGCTTCTCCATTTCATCTCAAGTCCTCGTCATCATTGCTCTCTGCGCCGCGCCGTTCCAGGCCAAATTGGGTGTTTGGTTTCTCTCTTAACTCGAATAATTAAAGGTGCTGCCTCTTGTATCACCAAAAGACGGCAAAATTAGAAATTACCATACTCTCAGGAAACGAGAGATTTTGTTGCCTTTTCTCGTTTGTATTTTTTTTTTTTTCTGAATCCGATTTTTTTATACCTACATTTAAAAAAAATTGCAAAATTTGCCGCCCCCTAAATTTGCCGCCATGGGCCGGGGCCCATGTGACCACCCCCTAAATCCGGCCCTGCGCATAGGTATCTCATGTATGTCTTCCTTTCTCGGCTGAATGCTACGCGGAGAATTTCAATAGCGTGATACAACAGTTTTAACTCTTAAGCAGCTGAAATTGCATAATCACTGGAATGAAGGAGCACTTAGTTTGTAACTTCTAAAAATAAGTGTTTTAATCTTTCACTTAAACTTCAAAAGGATTCGTAATTCCCACATTCTTTTGAAAGGTTTGAGAAAATTCTCTACACACACTGAAATTACGAACCACATGTCACGAACTAACTTTATACTTGAAAAATAAATTTCGTATTCTTTTACAAAGATAATTTAAAACATTAAGTACCATGTAACCATCATGTGTAACCACCACCACCACCACCTACATGTGTCATTGCCCTTTGGACAAGGGATCTCCAATTTTTCTCGCACATATTGTGAAACAGAGACATGCAATTCTTCTTATTCACCCATTAAATTTGACCACTTTACTAAGGAGAGTTCATCATTTTTGTTTCAGGGGGTAAACGAGATGAGAAACTAATTTTGCCACTCAATGACTCTGTCAGTGGAACTCTAAGCACAGACCAGGTAAGCTCTCATCATCTTTCAATCCACAATGGTTATTAAGGTTCGCATTTTCAAAAGATCTTTCCTCTGTCAACTTGTAGTTCCAACTTCTTTTGTGTTCTTCAATGTGTATCTAAATCCTCGCAGCCTACCCAACACTGAAAACTCTCGAAGATTTTTAGTAAAGGCGGTGACCAAAAGCGCCTTAAAGTTTCAGTTTCGTAATTTTAAGTCTATATATTTTTCGTTTCATCGTGGGATGAAAATTTTTCATTTGTTTGCGTGTTTTTCAGATGCATGCCAAAACCACTGTCATGAGGTGTAAAGACTTTACAGAGGACAAAATTTGGCTAAATGGCAAGTATGTTCACATTTTTTTAAATATTTATTCAATAATACATCGCTGGGCTTTGACTTTGAAATACATTTGTATTTGTTTTTGTTTATGAAATAAACACGGAGAAAAATTGTATGCTTCAATACGTTTTCATTAAAAGCATGATTTAACATTTCAAACAACTTTCTTTTTTCTTATGAATTTGAAGAATTCAGCAGTGTCATCATGAGAAAAAAAACATTTTTCTTAAATCCAAGAAAGAAGTAGTGATGCCCACTTATTTTTGAACCTTCACATTTTTCTGCTTATCCTGGTGTCAAGTAACATGCTCATTTTTCATACTTCGTTTTTTCCCCCATTTCATACCGTAAACAAACCTTGGTTTCACAGCGAAGTTTTTATTCGTTTTTTTGTTTTTTTCCAACAGGGAAGTAAGTTTTTCCAACCCACGGCTGCTATCCTGCATGAAAGAAAGTGAGTCTGTGTTAGTATTTCCCAACACACAAGTTTACCCTTGGATCAGTGTGATTAAACTCTGTATTCTCACCACATGCTGAATAATACAATAAATGTGTCTTTTTATTTTTTTTAAAAAAGAAAATGAAGAGCCAAATTGGAGAATCAGTTTTAAATACCAAAAGTTTATGAGGTATTTTACTTTTTTATGTATTTTCTTATCAACATTAAGAGAGCAACTACTTACATCCTAACTAAATTTAAATAAAATAAAATAACACGAGTAAAAGCAGTATACCTATTTTTTTTTTTTTTTTCTTGAGGAATCAACCAAAGCTCCTAAAACAAATCCTGCAATTATTATTAATTGACAGCCCAAAAAAATTTTGGCTCAAATAAAAGTACATCTACTTCTAAATTTTTTATCAGTTGATAAAACCTAACACCATCCAATATCAGCACATGAATTTTGCACATACTTAACCTAGTCACTCTCTCATTTCAGTAAGGAGATTATCAAGAGAAAGTGGCACAAGTGAAGACATTGTCAATACCAAAGTTCACATCTGTTCGGAGAACAATTTCCCAACTGCAGCTGGTTTGGCCTCCTCTGCTGCAGGATATGCTTGCCTTGGTATGACTTTCATTTTATACCCTGAGTATTATCATAATGGAGTACAATAGTACATGCATCAGAGTCTCAATGCGCTGGAGCACTGTCAGGGTCATTTTTTGAGGCTGTTTTGTCCAATAGTGCCAAGTCTAGTTAGCAACAACTAGCAAGGCGCAAGTTCCTATCTTCCAGCTCTGCTCTATTGTCCTACGGATGCGGACAAGTTTTACCCGCAGTTAATATTAATAAGCCTTGAACTAAGACATAATATAGATAAAAAGCTGGAGTTCCATTCCTCTTTGGTTTTATTTTAACTTTGGTCAACATTATTTTCCAAACTTTGCAAGAATAATCACCAATTACATTAATAAATCGTGTAAAACACATTCAGCCTTCAATATTTCTTTAGTCAATTTTTCTTTCAATTTCATAGTGAATTAATTCAACATAATCCATTGTTTAATCATATATCTAGTGGTAAATTTAGTGTCCCATCAAACATACAAGAGTTTTTTTAACTTGCCTCTCACCAAAAAGTGAATATGCCTCAGAAAATTTCAAACAATTTTACTCATTAACTGCTCCATTCCTTCATTGAATTTTAATGTAGAGGGAAATCATTTTTGTGATTTTCTCAGCTTTTTGGATGCGCACCTTTTGTCAGTAACTCTTCACCCTCTCTTCAAAAATTTTGTCCTAAGCCTCATCAATGATTGTTTTTATCTGTTTCCAGTTTTTGCCTTAAAAGAGTTGTTTGGAGTCAAGCAAGATATTACGAGGGTAGCTAGACTAGGCTCTGGAAGTGCCTGTCGTAGCATTTACGGTGGCTTTGTACGGTGGCACAAAGGTGACTTAGCGGATGGTTCTGATTCCATAGCAACACAAATCGCCCCTCCTTCTCATTGGCCCCTTCACGTTTTCATTTTAGTTGTGAGTAAAAATTATACCCTTGTAGTATGCTACTTAAATTTTTTGCAATTTAGAAAAAATGAACACTGCATCACAAAAGTCAGAGAGCCATCGTAAAAATCCCCCTTTTTGCAAAGGTGTTGCTCTCACGTGGGAGAGGATAATCCTTGATAATAAAAGTATCATGTAATCACTTCTGATTAATTTAAATCTAGGATTTAATTTGATAATAACATTTCTATTGAAAATAACACTTAAAATCGTACAATATCAAATCAAAAAGTGAATTTTTGTCGTATTCTGAACTTCCAATAATCGGTACGCAGGCTCATCGTAATGTAACAAACACATAATATTTTTCAACAAAAGATAGTGAAGCAAAGAGAGTAAGTGTTGTCAAGATCTGAAGTTATTGTTTGTTTGTATTTATGCTTACTTATTTCAGGTAAATGATGAGCAAAAGAAAATCGGTAGCACACCTGGAATGCAGCGGACAGCTCTAACTAGTGAATTAGTACAATATAGGATTAAGGAAAGTGTACCTAAAAGGATTGAAGATATAATTCAGGTAAAAAGCAAAGTCCTTTTTCTTTTTTGTGTCAGCAACAAGAAATTAGAAGTACAAATACTACGAACTATTAGGCTGATTTTTACTCAGACAAAAATCCTGCCATTGTGTTCACTTCTACTAATTTTTTCTCTGGTTTTGCAGGCTGTCAAGGAGAGGAATTTTGACAAATTTGCTGAGATAACAATGAAAGATAGCAATCAGTTCCATGCTGTATGCCTGGACACTTACCCGCCCAACATTTACATGAATGACGTCTCTCATGAAATAACATCCTTTGTTCATACATACAATGAACTGTTTCCAAAACCGAAGGTAATATATGAAGCCTTCCTCATTGCATCTGCCTCATGAGTTAAAGAATTGTTTATCTCATTTATTTATCTATTTTTACCTACTGATAGTCATAATCAAATAATTAATTATTACTTATCACTTTTTTCCCCTTTTTTTATAGAAGTTTTTTCATTTTTCAAACTGGCCAGGAAAACATTGATTTCACATTTTCATTGAATAACAAAAACGACTTTGTAATAAAGCCTTGCATAAATTCTTCTTTTTCAGGTTGCCTACACATTTGATGCAGGTCCAAATGCATGTATCTATCTTGAGGAAGAAAGTGTGCCTGATTTTGCTGCAACTCTTCAATACATTTTTCCCCCTGAAGAAACATTAGAGTCATATTTCAAGGGAGAATCTGTACAGTTTGGAACTGTTAATGAGGTTCGTCTTCCAATTAGTTAACAAGACTTTTTCCTTTTGAATTTAACTAGTCTCTCGCATCTGAAATAAGCTCTCACAATTCTGCTCCATGAATTTTACTCAATCAATCATTTGGAGGAATTTGCATATCATGTTGCATGAAAGCCCCTTTTTTAACTGCAAACTTCAAAACGCCATAACTTTAGTTGGGTGTGACATTTTTATCCCAAAGTGTTTGTATGTGTAGGTTACCTCTTTTCACTCTGGTATCAATAACTCAATTTTCAATGTTAGTGGACAAAGGTCTCTTTTTTCCATGGACAGTTACTAATGTCTAAAGTATTTTCTAGCTGCTTTTTTCATTGTAGTTCTCAGCTTTACCATACCAAAACCATACATGTTGAGCAGCATTTCCACCATTACCTTATTATCTTTACTTAAAAGTATTTAGGATTTATCTTTCAGGGAGGATCTGAACCATAACTTTAGCCCATTTACCGTTTAAGTGCGCTCCAATTTGTTTACCTGAAAATCAATTTTGCGTACTTATTAATTTGAAATAAAATAAACAGCTTGAATGAAGTTTGAAATTTTTACTTGATAAATGAAGTTATTGATACGATAAATGAATATGGGGGTTTGTTTTTGACCATGTATATGAGGACTTATCTGTAACAATAGCGGATGTGAAAAATTACCTTTTTGAAACACATTAAAAAACTGTTTTGCCATCGAGAAAATGTTGAGAAAATACTTGAGATGTGATCTTCAAGATCTGTACATTATGCCAGAGCCAAACATATTAAATTTTTGTGTGAACAAAACCAGGGGCGGACTGGGACGAAAAAAGTCACTGGGAAATGTACAGCCAAACCGGCCCACAAACCAAATGGGGGTCGGGGGGGCACTCCACAGAGAAAGGGGGGTCCGGAGGCCCTCCCCCGGAAAATTTTGAAAAATTAGCACCTCAAGAAGCCATTTTTAAGCGTGAACATACGTAATTAGAGTCACAAAATATTTGCAAAGTTGGCTGCGACCGTGGAGCATAAAGCAGCCCCGTGGAACAATGGAGGCCCGTGGAGCCTCACCCTATTTTATGAGAAAGTGACAGTTTACTAAGATTTTATCCCATTTCTCCACATACTTTTAGACTGTGGAGATAAAAAAAGAAAAAATGAAAGAAATTAGTAGTAGTAGTAGTAGTAGTAGTAGTAGTAGTAGTAGTAGTAGTAGTAGTAGTAGTAGTAGTAGTAGCAGTAGTAGCAGTAGCAGCAGCAGCAGCAGCAGCAGCGGTAGTAGTAAGATAAGTTTATTTTAAAGCGGTGCTTTAGCATCTACGGCCATTTACACCTCTGTGTTCACATGGAAATCAAGGTTACGTCAGTGAAAATACAAAAGGGTTGAGGGGGAAGGTTAAGTTTTAAGAAAGACAGAAAGAAAGTAGTAGTAATATAAGTTTATTTTAAAGCGGCCCAAAATACCAACCGGCCCACCGGGATTTTTCCCGGTATTCCCGCCTGCCAATCCGCCCCTGAACAAAACAGTTTTTTAAGCGTGTTTCGAAAAAGTAATTTTTCACATCCGCTATTGTTACAGATAAGTCCTCATATGTACAGGGTTTGTTTATGACTGGATCAGAATTTTTAATGATATAATAATGCTAATTTTCTAATATGCGCAGCTTAGTGGCAAGTACTCCCAGTTTCATGGCCTCTTTGTTGGAAATAGATCGAAGTCCAATTTGTTTTTTTGAATTCTACATAATTTAAAATTTTATTACAGGGTCTTCGTACTTATCCGCAACAATCACCCGGCCTTTTGAAGTATATCATCCATACCAAAATAGGCGATGGCCCAAAGAGATTGGATTCGAGCGAAGATCATTTGCTAACTCTCTCTGGTGTTCCGGTAAAAAATGGACCATGACTCACAGCTTGGTCTCTAGATGACGACTGTTTTCAAGCTGTTCAATAATAGCAATAATGGAGTTCCATTCTCTATTTTTTAACTCCTTATCTATTTTTTTTCTTTGATCACTGCCTACCATGTGGAACAAAACGTGGCCCCAGACATTATATGCAACTCATATCTTTCATTTTTGAAGAGGACAAAATACAAGTGTTATATTTGACTTTTAAAAACAAATAAAAATAAGAAATTAAAAAAAATTGATAATTCGCTGAAACTTTAAGCAAGCAAGCTTATAAAACTGTCCAATAAGTATCTGCAATATATGCAAATGTAAATTCAACTCTTTCATGAAGGATAGCCAATCTGCATCCTGTGGTACTTACTTCTTAAATACTCAATATTTACTAACATCATATTTTTTGCCATTCATAGTATTTGTAATATACAACTCTGTACAGAAATATTTTTCTAACTTTTGTTTTTGCTGATTATTTAAATTTTATTCAATATTAAGTTTTAATTTGGTTATATATTTAGGATAAGTCAAGAGATATCCCTTATTCTCTAGAAAAAGTTTTGTCAAAAGACTGAAATATAGTGCCTGAATATTTTTTGCAACTTTTTTTCTTTTCCTTCTTATTTCTTCTCATTAATGTCAAAAAACAATGCTACCAAATTTTTTTTATATTCCTCTACTTACATACTCTATTTGTTGTGAGGATGTTCAAAGCAAGTTAGTGTCATGATAGTAAAGAGCGCGGCTTAGAAAAATGTGGGCGTTCATTTATACATGACCTTCAAAACTTTCAAAAGCTTAGATCAATGAAGTGGTTGAACTACGACGTAAAATAGGTAATCTGGGGAAGTCCAAATCAGCATTTAGTGCATTGTATGTCCTTTCTTCGATATCAGATAGGTACTTCACAGCTGTGAAAGGATCATAATTTTAAACCAGGAGCACACTAGATTTGCTTCCTTTTTTTTTTAAGAAAAAAAAGAAAAAACTGGCAGCATTCAAGTCTTTCAGGACCGATTGAAATAGTTGTCCTGCCAGAATGAAAAAGTGTGCTTCAATGAAAGTGTCAAAAAATTAATTTTTAGTTATCAAGCAGTGGCGGATCCAAGAAAGGGAGGGGTCCAAAAAAAGGGAGGAAAGGGGGAAAGAGGGAGAGAAAAGAAGGTGCCCCTAAATTTTTACTGAAATGGTGTCAAGACAGAACTCAGAACTTTTTAACCAAGTTTCCCAAACCAAAGGTTACTCATTAGGTACCGCAGAAATAAATATATTTATAGGCCATAAACCAAAATAAAATTCCTCTACAAGAAGTAATATTCGATGATTTTCAAATTTCAAAAAATGAGCAAATTGTATGCTGAAACTGCTTAAAATTCAATCTGGGAGGGGAGGGGCTATTTTATGAAAATTGAAATAAATTTCACTATAGAGGAGCCCCTTCAATCAGTGAATAGACAACATCCGCAACACTTCAACACAGAGCTCCTCTTATCTCGTTTATGATGTTGAAAGACACCCCCCCCCCTCCCGATACCAAGTAAGGAAAAATATTCATAACTTTCCTTAGAAATAAACATTTTATCGAGGGAAATTTGGCAACTGTCGGATGTTCATACGGCGTTTTTCCTTCGCACGGTAGATGAGATGCAATCAGTGAAGATCAAAGCTCGTAAATAAATGTTTGAAACTATTTTTGCAGTTTTGCATACTATATTGTTAAGGGGGAGATTGCCTTCCACCGTGTGAAAGCAAGGAAAATAATAACTTAAATAACAACTTAAATAACAGATAATATAATAAAAAAGCCACCTGAACCAGAAATAAATATAAGTATTACTTTTAGCCTAATTTAAATAAAAAAAAAAACGCATTATGTAACCAGGTACCTACTCTAAATTAGTCGGCAAAGACATAGAACCACGTAGACCGTGCAGCCGAAAATATAAAATTATATTTTTGTCACCAAAATGCTGAACAGAACGAGAAGTGGAAAAAAAAAAAATTAAAATTCGCTTTGATTGCTGTGTTGAACGAACAATCCAAAATTGTGTGATATATCAGTTTTTTGGCCATGTTCGATCGTAAAAAATGTCCAACTTGCACTCCTCTAAAGTTTCACTGTTGCCGGTGCTCCTTCTGTCTTATTCAATGTCTATCCGATAACGCTCCCTCTCATTGGCTAATACAAGCTTGGATGCAGAGTGGTTGGACGAGGTTTAGCCACCCTCTAAATCCATCTAAATCTGATCTAAATCCTCCGTGGTCGGTGGGTCGGTGGTGCTGTCGTGTGAAACGAACTTTCACAAATGGCGACCGTTCTGTTTTCGTTGTAATTGTTTACAAAATCCGCGAACGTTGTTTTTATGCAAATTTCGTGTTTTATTGGCAGTCAGTCACATACGATTGAGCACCGTATTACTTTTAACGCTATGTTTTATATGTTTCATGTTTTAATGCCCGGTTTTTCATTAAAAATGAGAGAGAGTATTAGTTTCCTTGAGGTTATCTTTTTGAAATAATTCTATACTTTTTCTTCCCCTGAAGACAGCTATATTGTAAGTATCTTCACCCTTTCCACAGATTTTCTGTTATATCTGCTGCTTTCTAAAGCTGTTGGCTCAAAAGTCACTAAGTTTCTAATCTTTACATACCTATGTATCGATGCAGCACCCCGTTTGTTTTGATATGACTTCAAGAATCGTAGATCAATATTTCACTACTTTTCATTTCTTTCGCTGTTTTGTATCAAGTTTTATCTTGAGCACTCTTGATCAATTGGTCACCTTTGATTATCGGATGCAAGAAGTCCAATTTTTCCTGTCCTAGCCTCTTCCGCATTAAACTGAGCCAATTGACAACTTAATCGTAAGCTAAAAGTTTTAATTCAGTAGTCTTGAAGTCACAACTGTTACGAAATCATAGAATGTATGTATCTTCATCACTATTTAATGAACTGCACGCTTGCCTTCACTTTCAGGCATTGCCGATTGTAATGCTTGGCGATGTCTTGGAAGCCATCGATGGTTTTTAACAACAAATTTTCAGTTGTAAGAAAGTGATTCAACTAGCCTCTTACACTTTACCAATAGCAAATTATTTCATGCATATTATTAACCTGGATGCATCTGTTGCAGATTTAGTAAGATGGACACGGGTGTACCACGAATAAAGGTATTTCGACCATCTTGGGAGGAGTTTAAGGACTTCTCCAAGTATATTCAATATATGGAATCTCAAGGGGCCCATAAAGCAGGACTGGCAAAGGTAAGTTTCCAAGACTCCCATTCCAAAATGTATTTCTGGCCAGATTTATTAATTCTCCTTCTGTTTCATACATACTTATTTTTCAAGGATACCTACAATTAATTTGGTGAACAAGCGGATGAGGCATGCAATGTCTTTAGTCCTCTATTTGTACTGGGCCTCTAGACAAGGAGTGATTTAAAGGACAATGCAACATGTGCTCTCTTCAAAATTCCACAAGGAAAACGAATCACATGACAAGAAGTCTGAAAATCAACTCCTGAACATGACTTAAGTGTTTTTTATTAACATAGGTTAAATAACAGAAGTACAAGTGACGTCATTAGTATATTCGAACTTCCATTTGATCTATGTTTAAAATACTCATCAGTATCTTGCTCAGGAGTTGATTTCTAAACTTCCCATTGTGTAAATTGCCCTATGTAAAATTTTGAGGAGGAAACACGTGATGTTTTCTTCTACTTCAAACCTTGTCTTGTGGCCCATTCTTCTTTGGAAGTAAATTTGGAAGCGAAAATAATGTTTATCAAGGAACTGCCCCAAGCTGGGATGAGCATAATTCATTCCGTTTCGAACGATCTCTTAAGCTTTATCTAAATTAGACATATCATATGTTTCTCCCAATGCCAGGCATTCTGCTGCTCAGATTTTACCAAAAAAAAAAAAAATTGACTCTGCATTCCTGGGGCCATGAACAAAACAAAGAACAAAAAAAGAACCTATGGGTTCCTAGGTTTCCTAGAACAAAAAAAAAATCCTTCCGATGTTGAAACATCATGCACAACTGCGGCATCATGAAAGGATCACGAAAAAATCGCTCAGCAACGGAAGGTTTAATATCACTCTGGTGTCATTCATTTCAACTCTGAAAGCTTTATTTTCATGGAGCTAAATGTCTAATTAATTTTTTTCTGTTTTTGTAGGTCATTCCTCCTTCTGAATGGGTTCCTCGTAAGTCTGGATATGAGATTGATCAACTAAATGTCACAATTCCATCTCCTATTTGTCAGGTTTGTGCTTTGAATTTTGTTGAAATCACAAGCTCTACTGTCACTTAAAGTTCAACCTGCAACTCAGGACTAAAGTTTTTGAGCCCTGTTTACAAGCTGAAGTTGAACACACCTTGCTGGTGACATAAATATGCTCTTTAGCACTTTGGTAAATAATACCATAGACAATCCATCAATTGATAGTTTCTGGGTTTTAAGACATTTCTCAAAAATTTCTGAGCATCACAATCACGCCGTGATGTATCAGATCTTTGTACACAAAATTTTAGTAAGAACTACTTTGAAATAACTCCAAAATTTAGCACCAAGTGAATATCGCAAATAGTTTTGCATTACGATTAATGACATCTGATCAGGATGTACTTATGAAGTTATTTTGAAATGTTTTCAACTCAACCTAAGTGTACTCATACCTGATATACCGCAGGAGGGATGCAATGCTCAGAAATTCTCGAGAAATTTCCTAACATTCAGGAATTATCAATTGATGGATAGACAGTTGTATCGTTCTCCTAAGGGCCGAAGTACCGCTTTAATTACAAACTGGTCATCAAAGAATAAATAAATATTTATTTATTCAGTTTGACAGTAAAAGGATAGATGTTTTTAAAATTGTACAACTTTTACTTCCTCTGCATAACTCCTTAAAGTTTGTACAGTCTTTATTTTTCCACCTAAAAATTGTATGTTCTAAGTGTCTCAAAGCCAGTAAGTTTCATTTATGTGCATGCATTTCAGTTTCCTTCACAAAAAAGAGTAGAAGTTGCACAATTTTGAAAACACTTTCGTAGACCTTTCTGCTGAGCACTGTCTTAGTTATCCTTGTTCCTAGTGAAAATCTGAGAAACCGAATTCTTAGGCTCCGGTAATTACAACTCAATTTTAAGTTTTTATTGGTTGAACTCCTTTTCCCCAGTTAAATTTCAAGAGTTCAGAGTTTAAAGTAACTTGAAAGCTCAAGATAAATGAACTTTAAGTAAGGTAGGGAAGTGGAATAATCACTGTTTAATGGGCCACTAGATGAGATGCAAATGAACTAGAACACTTTCCGACTTATTTTCTCTACAGAATTTCTCAAGGAAAAGAAATCACTTAACTGGGAGTCTAGAAATCAACTCTTGAACGAGACATAACTGTCTATTTAATAATATTGGTTTAATGGCAGATAAACCAATGAATTCGTATATTCTAACTTGCATTTGAGCTATGTTAAACATTCTTTTTAATATCTGGCTCCGAAGTTGACATCTGATTTTCCGTTTGTGTGAATTATTTTTTACGTAAGATTTTGAAGAAATAAGATGCAAATTTTTTTCTAGTCAGATATTGTCTGGTGCCTCATTTTTTTCAAAACGCTCCCTCCACCCATCTCACTCAATGAGACTGCTTTTCCATCTTTTCAAAAACTTGACTTAACTCTGTAGGTGTTCCTTAGTTATCATTAAATATTTTCTCAAGTCCCCCAAGGAAAATTAAATGCTGTCTGCTCCATGATTTTAGGTGGTGACCGGGAAGCAAGGATTTTATCAACAAATTAACATTCAGAAAAAGTCAATGACCCTACAGGAGTACAAAGATCTAGCCAACAGTGACAGGTTTTGCACCCCAAAACACTTTGACTACGAGGATCTAGAGCGAAAGTACTGGAAGAATCTAACCTATGTCCCGCCAATTTATGGGGCAGATGTATCCGGGTCCATCACTGACCCAGACGTTGATGTAAGTAATTTGTTTGTTTTATTTGAGTCCCAATAAACTCTGAACTAACCAGCTGTAGGTATTTTCTCATCTGGCACAAGAATTGGCATTGTTTTCACGTTTTCATGCGCAGTTTTAAGCAGAATAATTGCAACCAATTTTCTCCGAATTATTTTCATTGTATATTCAGGCTGAATGAGTCAGTTAAGTCATTTCTTTTTTATCGTATCATTCGAAAGTAGTAAGTGACCGAAGCGTACGATTGTTTTCCTAAATTTTTTTGATGACTGCAAACGGGAGAAAAGTTTATTCGAAAGTGCCAAAAATTGAGTGGCCTAAAACGGTGTTTGAACTGCGCGCTCGTAGGTTCCGCATGTACACGTCACGATCAATATGGCGGCGGAACGCGTAGTGGAAGAATACTTGGCAGTGTCGCGTTAGCGGTTTATTTTTGTTGGTCAATTGGAGGTTATGTAGGTTACTGTGTTTGAGATTCATATCCATTGTTCTTAATTCTCTAAGCTTTTCAATCAGAATGCGATACAGATGTATGTAGGATATAAAACATTCACACAGAACTGACTCATTAGTTGGTCACAAAATCAGGAACTAAATAACATCAAAACACAAGAAGCTTAAAAATTTATTTTAAAAAATGCACATTGTGAAATGAATAACGATGGTGAAACTACCAAACCACGTATCTCGGTTTGCGATGTTGCAGACTTCCTTTAAACTTGATTTTTTTAATGGAGAACTACCGAACATCCATTCTTAAAAACTTTCATGATTTTTTGTCTCTAGGCCAGGCAAATTCTGAAAAAACTTCAAAGAATAATGTTGATTTGTTCTCCTTTAAAAAATAAAATGGAAGTGGAGATTATTAAACACCGTAAATGAGGTACGCAGTTTTGTAGTTTCAGTGTCGTTAAGCTTCAGACTCTAATATTTTGCATGCAACTTTTGCCAAAATTGCACTTATTAATTGATTGAATTGTCATTAATGGACTTTTTTTTTACCCTGTAGGTTTGGAACATCAACAGGTTGGGCACAATTTTGGACCTAGTGAACGAAGACTATGGAATTAGCATTGATGGTGTGAACACAGCATATCTTTATTTCGGTATGTGGAAGACATCGTTTGCATGGCATACGGAAGATATGGACCTATATAGTATCAATTACTTGCATTTTGGAGCTCCCAAAACCTGGTATGTTAATTTTTCATTTCATGATTCTTCAAACTCACCTCACACCCCGATAAATTGACATCCATTTACAACTATTCATCGCCTGATTGTAATCATAGTTTAAATATTCCTACCCATTCCCTCTAAACAAAGCCCATCAATGTGTGTAGCTTCTGGACCTGCCTCAATTCAGGCTTAATACTACTAGAATGTGGTAGAAGAAAAGAGGTATGAAGGTAGCAACTTTAGCAGAGCATCGTCGAGAAAAAAAGTCTGCAAGTAGCAGCCGGAACTCTTGTCTTTACCATATTAATGGAGCTCATGCACCTACAAACTTTTAAGTTGGACTGTCTCCTACCAATTCATTGTCAGGGCTCCTATGCTCAAACCCTCCATACAGACCTTTAATGCTAGAGATGGGCAAGCCAATCAAAGGCAAGTAGGTTCGATGCCCACCAATGTTTTCCTTCTACCATGTCACATCACAGGGGTAGAATTCAAGCATTCCCATTATCTTGTCAGAATTTTTTGCAAACTTGATGGACTCTATAAGAAATTCTGAAAGTTTAGAGGGTTTTTACTTTATAAAAAAAAAAACAGCATTGTTCTGCAGAAAAATATTACAGTCAGTTCCAATATCCTACTCCCAAAAAAAATCAAAATTTACTTTAGTCCATCATTGAGAATGAATTTATGATTGGAAATTTAACAAAGTTTCAACAATTTTCCCAAATTTCTGTTACTGAATACGCTCAAAGGAAAATTAGCACAATAAAAGAACATTTTAACCCTTCAGTGTAACGTTTTTTATGCGCAGGTATGCCATTCCTCCAGAGCATGGAAGACGCCTTGAACGATTGGCCAATGGCTTTTTCCCGGGATCTGCTAAGTCATGTCCCGCTTTCCTCCGCCATAAAATGACCATCATCTCACCACACATTCTCAAGCAATACTCAATCCCGTTTAATAAGGTAAACATCTATTTTGCCGAGTGCCTATAATGTGAAATTTCTGTCAAATATGTTGAGAGATCGTCCAAGTAGGGCATCAATAGATATTCCTCTTCTTACGTGTCAGGAGTAACAGAAGTGTGTAAATTCATATTTGTGTGAAAAAATCTTGATACATTTAATATGTTAACATGTCAAAGGGTAGGCATATTTCGTTCTTATAAATATTACGGTTTTATCTTAAGAAAACGTAGGGCAGTGAACAGTTCTGAGAATCCTCTAAAAAAATCAAGGATTGTTGAATCTTGAATTGGCTCTTCTTATGATTTGGCAATCTTGGATCTTAACAATGTGTGTGTACCCACAGTTGTTCAGAGCGAAAAGAATCCTGAAATCTGGGGATTCTCCATCGAGGAGATGAAGGATGGAGGATGTAAAGTTAAGAGGTAGAAGTCCATTGAAACATTAATATGTAGATGGTCACCGTTGCAAACCACGTATGTTAACCAAAAAAATATCACTCATTCTCAGCTGTGACTCAAATTTATTGCCTCGGTTATTATTTTTCCTTAAAAGGTTTGTCCAAAAAGGTCGATGAAACTTTTACATGCTAACTTCACCAATCCTTCATTTCTATTTTGTAGATAACTCAAGAACAAGGTGAAATCATGATTACTTTTCCTTATGGATATCATGCTGGGTTCAATCATGGATTTAATTGCGCAGAATCCACAAATTTTGCTTCTCCGCGATGGGTGGAATACGGAAAACGAGCAACCCTATGTGCTTGCGCGTGAGTATAAATTCTACTAAATTCTATCCATCAAAAAATAGGTATCCGAATCCATAATAGCTAATAATTAGATGCATATCAAGACTATGAAGATGAAGTAATCTCCTTTCAATCCTGGTTCTTTTCTCATGGCAAAATAAATGTGAGAGTATCATTTAAAAAAATGTTCATTTCCAAAGATAATTTCTCATTCTTGAATATTCTGAGGAGTGTTCCGATTTTTTTACGAAGTAATTTTTTTTTAATTTTAAAAAAAAATAAGAAATCAAGAAGAGCAGTTAAATAATGGTAAGAAAAAAAGTTTTAAAAATCTTAGTTTTGACCATAAAATCTTCTAATTAACGTAGCCTTGCCATCAACACAATTAAGTTTATTCAATGTTTGTTGCTGTCAATTTTCATAGGCAAGACACAGTGAAAATTAGTATGGATACTTTCATCAAAAGATTCCAACCAGACAGGTACGAGCTTTGGCTTCAAGGCAAAGATATTGGACCCCACCCAGAGGAACCATCACGACAGTCCGCAGCTCCACCTCCTTCAGAATTGGACATTCTCTGCAATAAAAAGTAAGTTTTCATCTAAAAGTGCGGAAAGTACAATTTTAAAAAAGGAAGAATCAAGTCGTAGTGTTGAATGAATGCTCAAGATTGGACTATTCTCGCCGAATCAAGCCCACGTCTTTATTTTTGATGTAGAACCTAGAGTCATATCTTTCTTCCTGTCTTTGGGGAAGAAATTTTTATGACTCATTTTTTGACAGATTTTTGCCATGTGCTGATTTCTATTAAAAAATTACTTGTGGTACTTATCATTTGTCACATTATTTAACCCATCAGAAAAGTAAACAATGACCTTAATGCTGAGATAATCAGTCAATTGTCGATGAGTCTTTGGCTAGGTCATTTGTGAAGTCATTAAATAAAATTCTTTAGTAAACTATCACGTTTTTAAACTTGTCGTCCCGTATGAAAACAAATCGGTTCATCTGTTGTGGAACTGAAGCCGCTTTTTTTCCCAGCCCTTCATTTTGCTGTGATATTTTCGTTTTATTTAACGGTAGCTCCTCATAATTTTTTAATGGCTTTTATTTCTTTCAGCAACTCTGAAGTGCCGAAAGTATACCTGGAAGGTGGAAAGAAGCGTGTACCAACAGTGAAAAAGAAGAAGAACGAAGTCGATATCCCCGAAGACGTTAAGAGAGTTGTCGAGCAGATTCAAAATGAGGAAGGTGAATGTGACGATGGGCCAGATGAACAACAGCTGCAAGTTCTGGAGGACATTTGGCTCAAAGCCGGTGAAATTGGTGTGTTTCATAAGCATTTGGCCTTAAGTTTTCCAATAATTGCAAAGTTTCTGTTGTTTCGCGCGCCTGAATCACCATTTCTTCAGTAGATTTTCATTTTTTTCCTGTGCACTTTAATTTTTCTTTTCTCCTATCATTTTTTCTGATGAATATTTACTGTAAATTTAAATTGCAATTTATTTTTTTTATTTATATTATCCCATATTTTCATCTTGGGTGGTTTTTTTCTCAATTTATTGTGTTTGTGACCTGAAATCCGAAAGACCACTAAACAAGGTACAAAATTAAGAACTGCAGTGTGTGTTTCATCATCAAAATTTCATGTAGAATATGAAGACAGGATCCAAACTCTCCAAATTCAATCCAGGAAAGAGAAAATAATGGTTTTTGTCTTTGTTGATTCACACTTTCTGTTCAGAAAAAAACCTTAGTCCACACCAGTCAAATCGAGCACCAGTGTTGGAAACTCACCTTTGAGTTTTAGGAGCCATGTACGCACCAAACCCGATTTTTAGGCGCCATTGAAGATTTTTTAGGGGCCAAATTGACTTTTTGCCTACATATTACAGCGCATTTAGTGAAAAGTTAGACGCAAGATGTTTTCGTAACAGAACTAATAAGTAGCTGTAACTTGAGGAAGACAAAAGCACTAAGAATGAAATCGTGAAGAATAGAAAAAGCAAACTTTCTTTTGTAGTGCTGAAAATTCTGAGTTTTTCAATTCAAATATATTTGTTTTTCTTTCCTCATGTGACTTCCTGTGAAAATCCAGATTTTTAGGGGCCACGTTGGCTCAGAGCCTTCATTTTTTAGGCGCCATGGCCGATTTTTTAGGCGTGTTGGCGCCTGTGAGTTTCGAACACTGTCGAGCACTGAAATAATTTTGGTACATCTTTCGATAGTAGAATTTTCTGAATACTAACTTTTTTCATTAATATCATAGATAGTTGGTGTGTATCAGAAGAGGAAAAAAATGTGTGTGAAACCAGGCAAAAATAGTAAAAATTATTCATGTACCGATAATCCTCAAACTCTTAAATTTCATCTTGTCTGAAGATGAGATAACAGGAAGGTGCAGGAAAAATGAACCACTTTTCCGACCTGAAACTTACGAGCCGTGCACTAACATTTCCTTATCATTTTTTCAGAACCCTGTGATGCAGAAGTGTATGATGATGGTTGCAAAGTATACACTAGGAAAACGAAATCCAAAAGAAAAAAGAACAAATCACCAGCAAAGAAAACCAAAAAATCACGTAGTAGATCCAAACAGCCCACTTTCTCCTCCACTGAATCATCTGATGACGAATACATGGAAAAACCATCTCGGCCTGCAATTATTAAACCGCAAGCCCGACCGTTGCTCAAGATCAAATCAGAGCCAGATGAGTCAACAGATTCGGATGTTAAAATGGAGTATCAGTTGAAGCTTCAGCCAAGCCCGGATAGAAAGCCTTCTCTTAAGTATATTCTCGCCCTCCCAAAACGAACGCCTGATAACAACAATGTAGCGAATGCTAGGATAAAAACGCAGTCAAATATTTTATGTACAAGGTAAGGAAAAATGCAGCATAATACCAACATAAGGGCAAAACTCAAGGAATAGCTCAGTTTATTAGATTTTATCCAATGTATGGATTTTGATATCTTCTCTATGTTGCTAGTTCTGAAGAATCTTTAATTAACTCTCTTGGTTGATAATTATGTGATAAATCCTCTAATTTACTGCTGAATAATGTTTTATGAATAAGAGTGAAATCAACTTTATCACATAGTTGGTTAATCTTCCCCATCATTAAAACAGCTTAAACAGTTAGAGTAAGACCTATGAAAAAGTATTTTTACCACCCCAAAGAAATTAATGGAAAGGAATAATTACGAAAATTCCTCTAATCTCCCTAGGAATCGATTTTGATTAGTTGTTTGGAGTTTTTAAGTTTCTACTCTTGTTAATTAGAAAAGTAAAGAACGACCGACAATGATCAATGAAATCAACTGAAAGTTAATTCTTAATCATTGTAATAATGAAGAATAGAGTATTCAATGACAGCAACAAGGAGCAGAATCAATCGTAGAATAACCCCTATAAATTGTTCCAAAAGTGGACCAACTGATGAAACAAAATAACAGTACACTAACGTAGTTGAAATGTTACTAGAGCGTCATGTAGACCACTGACACCTCTTGTATTATTTTACTGAACCAGTTAGTATTGAATCCACTTTCATTAATGGAGCTTTTTCTGGTTGCTTTCATTTTTGTATTGAATATTCAGCCAAAAGTCATAAAGTTCTCAACATTAGAAAATCTAGTATCATCTTAAAATTTTCCTCAACAATTTTACAGACACCCCTATATCTCATCAAAATTGATAAATTCTATAAATTAGAGTACTTTGAAGTTTGTAATACAAAGGCAAGCATTTTTACCCAATCCCTTTGATCAGCTAGTATTATTTAAAATTTTGTTTTTTATTCAGGCCAAATACAAAGAAGAATGGCTCATCCCCAGTAAAAAGACTGAACGGAGCCTGCAACAAGTTCATGCTGCCGAACACGGACATTTCTCTTGGGGCAAGAACCGGGCCAAAACCACCATTTAAAGAAGAACCTGTTGTAACAGTCGAAGACAAACTTCACAATGTTGAATATGATGTAAATACATTCAAGAACATCAAATTTGTGAAGGAAGTAGGGACGAATCCACAGAAGCCAGGAAATCAGTACATTACGCTGAGAGATGTGCGACTTCAAAAAGGCTGTAAGCTCATCATAGACCCAAAATGTGAAGTTAAAAACAGCACTGAAAATGTTCGAGTTTCTTTAGTCAACCTGCCCATGCTCGATACCGGTCAAATCAAGACAGAGGAAAGATTGCCCCAGGTTAGATTTTTTTTTCAATTTTTTTCCCCAGCATGCATTCAAAGAATTTCATCCAAAGGAAAAGAAAAAAATTTCTGTTGGATTCAAATTTTTTTAGTTGCAGTTGACCATAAATTGAGAAAAAATAATCCTAAAATCATCAGGATCAGCCAATTAGAATGCTTACATGGCCATTAGCCATCATATGGTGAAAAACCAGTCGTTAACTCGGCAAATCACTCAAGAACAAACAATAAAATTCGGCTGATTCTGCTGTGTTCTGTATTTTTTTCATTAACAGCGTAAGTTCATGGGACATGAAAAAAAGATGAAACTTTCCAAAATATTGTTTTCTTAAAACTGAGGAGTTTTATTTTTCACCGAACGCTACGCTTGTTCCAAAGTTGATAAGCATATGCGTAGGTTGTTATTATTGTTGTTTGTAGGTTGATTGGCCTGATTCTACCATGCAGGGTTACTTTTTGCCAATGAAGCAAATATAGCATACCACTATATTTTATGAACTGTGAAACAGAATTTTTATAAGAAATATCTTTTATCCTATGACTTAAATCAGTGGACAATAATCAAGAACGAATAATTTTAAGGCTGTTATTTAGCCGTTGATGAAAATTTGTTTATGAATATCTAATGAAAGACAGTTGCATTAGTATAGCATAGCGGGGCTACAGATTCACAGTTAAAAATACTGTCCTATAAAATGCCTGGAGCTCCTCACTATATCATAAACAAATGTATTAAAAACAACTAACTCTCTCAATATCTGTATCATTCTATTTCTCAATAATTTATACCAGCTGAACCGGAAAGTTTAACTCAAATTATAAAATGGACTCTAAATAAATTGTACTTGTGTGTTGCTGCTCTGTTTTTGTCATGAATTATCAGTTACGAACTGCGGAGTAAGGGGCTGCTCAAGTTTTATGCAAGGCATTTTGGCTGACTTTTTGACCATCCCTCCCCCCTCGCACGGCACTCCAAAGATAATCCCCCTCCCCCTTTGAATCCTGTAAGACTGACCGGACAACCCCCCCTTGAATGGCCCTAATGCGTCTACATTTATATTGAAGTAAATTCCTTTTAAATGTGCACAGAAGCCGGGCAGCAATGACAGCTTGCAAATTTTATGTGATATCGCCGCTGTATATGGGCAGAACAACTTGAACGACCCTAGAATATCAAGCTCACTCAAAACTGAGCCTGAACCTGAACCTGAAATGCCAGAACTACTTACATCAGAGGTAAATCAATCATCAATCATTGTTGAACATCAATGAATCTGAGCATTAGTGATGAAATTCCTAGAAAGGAGTCAGAACCTCAAGGGGCGAAGTCAAGTTGGAGGCATTTTAAATGAGAATACCTATTTTGGCCAGTTGGAATTAAACCAATCAATATTTTTGCAATCAATCTTTATTATTGAAAAACTTTCGTTTTCTCATCGATTTCAAAAGTCGCAAAATCAAAACTTTGTTTTGTTCAGACTTAACTCACCACTAATCAGTAAGTTGAACGCTTCTAAGTCTAGAAATCAGTATAAGAAATGAAACTCGCTGAAATAGATGAAAACTTCCCAGAATCCCAACATAAATGTAATAATTTTTATTGGTTACTTTCATTTTTCCATCATTTGAAATCTAGTCGAAAAAGTAGACGAAAGGAATTTTAGGAATTACTGTTGAAATTTTAGATGTGTCTGTTGTTTCTGAAATGAGTCAGGAATAGTGGTTCCTGAAGTAGCTCAACTTATTATTTTTAAATCAATTTTTTCCAATTAGTCTTTATCATGAAAATGTCTTTTCAAGCAAGGAGCTAACATCACTTTTCCTCTTTTCTTCATCTTTTTTTTTACCAGGTCATCGAGGATGATGACTCGAACGACAGGTATCAGTGCTCGGTGGAGAGCGACCCGCCTGTGATTAGTCCTCAAGTTAGTATGTTTCCAACGCCATTTGCCGCAGGCTCAGCAAAAGATCGGCCTAGTGTTAGTGGCGTCTCCATCCAGACCGATGTTTCCTTTTTTAACCGTAAGATAAACGGCCAAGACAACACCAGCGCAACAACATCTAGCGTTTCTTCATGTCTTGCAAAGGATTCTGAATCCTCGCAAATAGTTCCTGTTGCTCAGTCAAATGAATTATTAATTTGTAAACTAGAAAAACCTGGTAAGTCAAATTTCTTTTGGGTTTTTTCAAAAACAGTAAACAGCATCCTATAGGTGACTCAAGAGACTTGCTGTCATTGAATTTAAAATTCTAGTTTTCATTGTGAGGAAAATCTATCTGTTCTTCAAAAATCTCAAGCTAATAATTACTTTTTCCAATGAAAGAAAAACAACCACTATCTCTCTTCATTAAACGAAATTTTTCACTATTTATTGCTTTTTTAGGTTTACTCAATGAGAGACCTTCAATTATTTTTCAGAATCGAAAACTTCTCATAGGAAATTTGTAATTAATTTATTATTCTGTTCCTTTTAAGGAAGCTCAGTTATTTTTTGTCTTATTTTAAAGATAAATCCTCATCTAAACCAGGTGGTCTCACAACTAAATGTTCCTGAATTGAATTCAAATAGCTTTTCTAAGAGTAAATCTAAGCTACGTAATAACTATAATAAAAAAAGTGCCTATGCTTGTATCGCATGTTTTGATTGGTACATAAAACCTTTCCCTTATGCATGTCATAAAATGGTATACTAATTATGGTTCAAGTTATGTGATGTCTTCATTTTCTTCATGTTACAGACGATGAATGTAGTATAAATCGTAGAAATAAACTCACGAAGTCTTTTACTTTTCTGGGTAAGTTTAAGTCATTATAATCTCATTTTGTATTATGCTATTATTTCTCTTTTCCTGAATTAGCTATTCTTGCATCAATGATACACTTCAAACTTTAGTGAAGGAAATGTCTTCCAAAAAAGTGTGAAGTAAACTTCGCTTCAAATTTTATTTTATCTTTCAAAACATTACAATTATGATACTTCTTGCTACAAATTTTTTTTTTCAATGAATTTTTTTGTCCTTCAAAGTTTCTACAAAATGTTGCTACTTAAAGTACAGCAAGCAGGAGCATAATTCTTTTTTCCTCTCTTCCTTTTTTCTTTCTTCAACATTTCCAATCAAGTATGTTTTTCAGTGCAAATTTTCAATTGACTTATCAGGAAATTTCAGTTTTCTTCAGCAGTTGTTAGACCTATGGCAAAAAAAAAAAAAATTATAATTTCATTTGAAGAAAGTTGTTCATAGACTGATTTAGTGACTACGTCATTCGATATAATATCAAACTCTTGGTTCAAACTGAAACAAACTAACATAACCTCATGTACAAATTCTTCGTCAGTGACTTGTGTTAATCTATTACACTTTAGTCATTGACGGATCATAAAACAATTACAGACTCATTAAACACGAGAAATTTCGATTGCAAGAAACCTTTGGACGCATTTCAACACCATGGCATGAAGGGCGCAAATCAGAACTAGAGCGGACGCATTGTATGTTGAGACGAAAGTCAAGTATTGTTTAGGTCACCACTCATCAGTAGTGCCATCTGACTGCATGTATTAACCTGTTGAGTGGTGCTGATTCAGCGGTAATTGGAGATTGACATTTGTCTCAATATACGATGTGTCCCTCTCTAAGGTAATGTGTTTGTTTACATTTGAACCATGTTGTAGCCACTAAATCAGTCTATTCCAGCCTCAAAATTGTTTATCCACAAAAATGTGTTAACTTTTCAGTTTCTAATTTTTCTATCATATTTGTATCATTGGAATAAGCTGCCAGAGAATAACATACAACGATTGATTTTTGTTTGCAGAAATTTGGTCAGAATTGTACAAGGCGGACACAAGCTTAGACATGATCAAAACTTTTAATTTATTTATTGGGCGCAAAGAACCCCATTGCCATGTATGCTCCATTTTAACCAACTCAGAGGTAAGAGCCATCTCCACTGTTTCATCATCGTCCAATAATCAATAGTCCTTATATTGATCAGTATTCTGAATCCATATTTTGTCATTTTGAATCGGAGAATCTTTTTTCCAATATTCGCTAAGAGCAATGGAGGTGGATTTCTGAAGGAGATTGACAGGAATTTCTTCCGTTGATCATGACTTAGATTCGTAATAATAGAGAGGTCAGATCATGAAATTTCAAAGTTTTGCTAAGAGCAATAGAGGTGGATCTAGATAGACAAGAATTTCTTCCGTTGATCAGGACTTAGATCTGTAATAATAGAGAGGTCAGATCATGAAAGAAATTGTATTTGGTGTCACAACTGAATAGTTAGTCTGGTATGATCATGGTAACAGGATGAAGGGAGAAAGACTGCTAAAGAAGATACTTGATTTGGTTCATCCTGGAAGAAGAAACAGGGGTCGCTCATATAAAGGGTGGCAGCAGAAGGTTTTTCATGAAATTAGGTAGTGTCAACTCCCTGTAGAGCTTTGGAAGAACAAGGCCTGGCGCACAGTGGGACGAAAAGGTGTCAAAACGGGACATTCGCACATTAGACGATACTTTTTCGCCGATCTTCTCAAAACTTGACATTTTCGGTCTTTTTGGGAAAAGGAATCCAATATTATATTCAGTATTTGGTTCATGGTGACAATCCCGCCAAAAAGTGATGTTGCCAAGTCTCTGTTTTAATCTATTTGATAAACAGATTAGCATGATAATGGCAGAGATTTAACGCGCGTGTCGTTTGCTTTTTTTTCATTGAAAAAGAAAATGAATTCACTTTTCCTGAAATTGAGAAATGCTTTTATTAAGAAACAACACCCCCCCCCTACCGTCTTCTTACCTATCGCAAAAACCGCATCTATATTTGACTATAGGGGAATGAGTTCATCAATGGGCAGACATTAAAGTATGAATCCGAAAATCATAATTGAATAGGTTGCTCCCAAATATTATCATTCTTTGACACAGATGCTTTTTCTCCGTTTTTTTTCAAGGACTTTTCTTCTTCCCTTTTGAGCGCCATTTTTTAAAATCCTGATTATACGAAATATGCAACAGACACTCAAAAGCTCTAATCTTAAGATGTCAAGGCAAAATTCCATACCTACTTTAGAAACTCCGAGTTTCTTAGGGGTCTTTTCTGCACTTCTGAGATATCGTTCATAAGAATGAGGATTTATTGCCAATCAATATATTGCAAATTTTTCCATCGAATATGCTGGAATAAAAATCATGGGATACTGTCAAACTGTCGCTACATTGGTTGATATTATTAGTGTATTTTCCGAAGGAAATACACTATTTTATATTTTTTAATTTCAGCTCCGATTCTAAGGACCGTTTCCATCACGACATCATCCGATTCTTTGCAAATTCAAAATAAAAAATTGCTCTACAAAAAAAGACGATAGCAATCAGTATCCTAGATATCAGATAAGCATTGCAGCAAGCTGATAAGCAACGCAGCGGCAGCGCGGCGGCCAGCAACGCAGCCCGTTGCGCTCAACCTCAACCGTCAGTTGGCCTGAGAAAGCGCTCGATTTTAAGCGAACCGCGCTCATGTTTTCCCTTGTAACTTCCAAAGTCGGAAGAAGTCGGATGAAAACTAATATGATTCTGAAAGCTAAGGATACGTAGAATCTCGATATGCAAACCGTTTCTTGGACAAGTCTGGACATTTTTTTAAAACTCTAATGGAAGTTTGAATTTTAGTTTTTTGACTTGTCGATTTGGAATTCACTCTCTGACCCCCAGGAAGTTAAAAGTAATCATCACCAATGACGTAAACGAATAGTCTATGTTTGTATTCAATTGTTATAACAAAAAATTGCATTTGAAATCATCTCGGAAGCTAGAGGAGCAACATTTGTATACGTGCGCTTTTACCTCTTTTTTTCATTTTTCCGAAACACGCGTTTCTCTACGCCTGTCATTTGAATATTCCTTAATTAAATTGTTAAAATCTTCGTTATTCTGGAAGTTAAGACCCTCCAGGTAACTTCTACACCCTTGGTTTTTGCTTTTAATGATTTTCATTTTTACCGTGAATGTCCCGTTTCTGTAATGGGCTCGTCCCAATGTGTGGCGGTTAGGCATCGTTGAGTGCCAGAGTTTTTAGGGAATTTTGATAATTTTGGCCAGGAAAAACATGGAAAAATCAAGGAATTTTTCCTGCTGAGTCTCTAGACACCCTGTTTTTTAAGTCATCTCCTCCTATAAGCTGGAAAGTTCTTCCCTTCCTGGCCTAACCAACCGCCTTCTATTAAACAAAACGAGAGGCAAAGTATCTTTTTGATTCTAAGGTCGTGTAAAAAGTGAATTCAAGTCTCGCTTGCACAGGAAAAATTGTTTGAGGCAGACCATTTTCAGCCCCTTCATTTTCTAACTTTTTCAGCATTTAAACACCGTAAATGAGTACACATACTTTAATGTAGATCACTCAGAAGAAAAGATGACCAATTTAAGCAATTATTTTCAAAGACTTCGAGCAGAAACGAAGTCATAAACATCTGATCCACTGTTTCTGTCATATCTTTTAAAGTACTTCAAAGTGACAAGCTTCTTCTTTTCACCATAAATAAACCACTTTTTATTTTTTCCAGAATTTCAATGTAAATATCGACACCGATTCTGCAGTTTTCTATAACCTGAGTGAAGAGAGTGTTGCAGAGAAAAGTCATGTTACAAACAGGAAACCTGCCGGCAGAGATGGGGAAAGTGTTTTGCTATCGTGTAGTGACTGTGCTGTCATCGTCCACAGTGAATGCTACGATGGCAACAACCCACCGAGTCTCCTCCCTGAAAAGTGGAGATGTGATATGTGTATAGAAAATAAATTATCAGAGGTAAGTTGAAATATTACAATAGAGGCCCAGTGCATTAAGTATTTTAATCCAAGTTGAGGAAGTGTGCCTCACAATTCAAGTGTTATTGTATGTCAATGTTATTTGTAAGAACAGCGGATATGAGAATCCACTGTTCTCAGTGTTCTCCCCGGCCGGCGCGGCAGGACATCGCAGAGATTCTGATGCACTTGTGATAACTGTCCGCGCACAGGCCACAGGCCGCAGCTGACACTCAAATTATACGCATTGGGGCCGTTTTGTCAGAATTGATGAGTTTTTAACTAATTCTATAATCTGCTCCTTATTTTTGATGTAGAAGTTACAGATGGTTTAGTTTTTTGTTCAATTCAATTAAATAACTCAGCATTGACATACTTTTGGTTCATTTTAGTTGTTTCACCAGCCTTACCCTTACTGAAGACATCGTTTCATGCATAAAAAAGTTTTTTCAGTGAAAATAGCGATTGTCACATTTTTTTTTTAATCACCTTCAATTTTTCACTTATGTACATAGATCGTAAAACATGTGTTTTTTACAGGAAGAGTTGCTCTTCATGAAAATCTTTATGGACAGCAAAGTGCAAAGCTTCGAAAACTTCAAATGCAATTTCCTCACAATGTGAAAACTCGACATCCGCTATTGTTACATATAAGTCCTCATATGTACTTAATAATTTTTCATCAACGATTTGTTCTTGTTATGTTTACAGAAGTGCAAATTATGCTCCCTCAGCGGGGGTGCATTCAAAGAAACAGTCAATAAGGAGTGGGTTCACATTGCGTGTATGATTGGCTTACTCCACCACAATAGGTTCCAATTTCCAATTGATCTCAGTAATATTGCTTCGTGGAATGAAGAGGTAACAAGTCTTCATTTTCTATGTACATACATAACTCTTATTAGGAAAAAAAAAGCTATGAATGCATAATTGGATTGCATTTTGCAAAAAGGAACCACTAGCATTGCAATGTTGCTAAAATTGTGCAACTTCTTTTGTCTTGGAGGGAAAACCCGATTATCCCTTCATAGTTTCTATTTTACTCGCTAAAAACTGTAAATTTAATACAAAAACTACCATCTAAATTTCATAGTTTTTCACAATTTCCGCGATTTTATTGCAAAGGATGAAGTTGCACAATCTTAGCATCATTGCAATGCTAGTGGTTCCTTTTTGCAAAATGCAATCAAATTGATGATTTGATCCCATCATCCGACCTTTGAATAAATTGAACAAGGGTCTCTTGCAGCAGAGAACTGATCATCCTAAGATGGTCTGCTTGGACCAAATCTTCTTCATTATGTTGCGGACTGTACTTCAGCAGTGTGCACAAAAGTCGTCTGAGGTAACCATCTCTTTTCAGTGGCAAAAACAGGCCAGAGGGTTACTGTGGGCATTAGCTATGATTCAGTTTTTCCAGTCGCATTGATGGTTCAAGCCCATAGACTAGACAGAAATAGTGAGATCCAGCAGAATGCCTGGTTTCTACCTCCAACATTAATCGAGACATTGCCCTTTAAAAAACACTGTGTATGACGTCATCCACGGCAGTAGTACATACTACGGTTTCTTCTACATTAGATTCATTAATTAGTGATACTCAAATTTGCCCTAGTAGCTTGACTTAAACAGGGATGAAACTATGCTGGAAGAAAGCATGGTATGTACCACTGCAATGAATGATATCATAAGCTATGTTTCTTAAAGGACGGTATCGCTGTTATTACTGGACCATAAAAGTTGGTGTTATGACGAATGTTCAGAAACACTCAAGGCGTTTTGTTGTTGTGTGCTCTGTTTAGACCATGAGAAATGAAAGGAATTTAGACAACATGAAGTACAGTTAGGCTGATTCTGCATAAAGTTTCTTAATTATAAGGATGTATTCGTCTTATTTAGACTTTTTTAATTTTAACAAGTAATATAATTTCAGTGTTACGTATGTAATAAAAATGGTGGAGCGGTGGCGCTGTGCTCAGGCTCTAACTGTGACCTCCGTTTCCATGTCTCTTGTGGCCTCATGGCAGGTGCCAGGCTAAAGTTTTCAACCAAGTCTGCTTCTGTCTTGGATTCAGCCGCGTATGCCATTATTTGCAGTCGATCTCATGAAACCCAAGAAACTGACAAGGTAATTGAACTAAAACTTGTGCTTACTGTACAAAAAAAACGTGTTGTCATGCTGTAATTCACCTGTGAAGTCATGTCAAAATCTTGTCTCTAAACTTCAAATAAGATAATTTCCCACAGGAAAAAATTGAGCTTTATTACTTTATTTTTTATTATTTTTGCATTTCTTAATATATTTTTCCTGTAAGTCAAAGACCTCGATGAAGTTGAACTGTTTTAAATCGGTAACTGTAAAGGATAGGGGCAACCTAGGCACCCAAAGCTACCATTCTGATACCTTTCTTTACAGTTAGATGAAGCTTTCCGAATCATATCTAATTAATTGTTGAAAAATGTCAGCAGGTTTCTCCCATCTCAGAAGGCCAAGCTGTTTGGGTGAAGGGAAATGATGAAAGGTACCATGAAGCAAGAATTTTAGGCATGAAGGATTGCCAATTTGTTCAAGTGCTCTTCGAGGATAGAACTTTTAGTAATCAAATCGAGCCACGTGCAATTTTGGTAAGGACTTAGTAAATAATTTTGTTTACTTCCCTGTAATAAAGGAGTCAAGCAGCTAACAACAAACTAGTCTTATTTTTGTAACATATTTTTTCAGCTCCTTTCAATTTTTTATCGGAAAATTCTGTGGGCCCCTTGAAAAAAAATGAAGATAAAAACAGATTTAACTAGTAAAACTCAAAACAATCTCATTTATTTCAGATAATACTTGGAAGTATTCTCATGGAGTACATCGCTACATTTGTACTCACAAGTTGCATAAATTGGACTAAGTTTAGAGTCTACTTCAATTCAGTTTACGCTCTTTCAGAGTGTGACAGAAGATCGGATGTCATTAATTTAGTCATTGAAAGGAAATGCGAGAATCAAGATGGCTGATCCTCTGTTGCACTCCAAAAGAGCCTAAAATTATTTGGCCTGGTCTTTAACAGAAATGCACCAAGTTGCATCAAATTTGTTGAGGAGGTTTGAAGTTGTATTCATTTTAAATATTCAATGTTAAAGACAAGGTTTAACGACTTTTCACAAGTTTCAAATTCTTTCTCTCAACTTTGAATTTCGGACATGAGAAAATACTCTCATTTCATTTATCTCTGAAATGCAACTTGATGCATTTTTGTTAAACTCTGTTCGGCTACCTCATTATTTTTTATCCCAAACGGATGCATTTATACACTATTCCTGCTTTTTAACATTCATTTACTAGTTTCAATTTACTGAGTTGTATCAAGAATCATCATAATGCAAGTTTTACCGTATGCTAAAAATTGGCATGAAGCTCCATATTTCTTAGCAGTGTGTAATTACATACTGAACCTCAATGAGACATGTCAGTGCATCTATTATGATATTTACTCCCACTTTTATAATGTGTAATTAGTAGCACGACTATCTTTCCTTCTGTGATATAAAATGAAGCAGGATGGATACATTCACTTGATAATAATAGGATTGTCTTTGCTGATAAATTTGCCTCCATTGGTTAATGTCAGTGAAATCTCATTTTTCAGGGGTATAACATCACTGAAAATCCACCCGGTTATGGAACTGTCGTGTCTGTCTGGAATGCTAATAGTCAAAGCTCCCATCTCGGTCGCTATCTAGGAATTTATAATAAATTAATGTACTTAGTAAGTTCGATTTTGTTTTTAACTTTCTACTTTTCAGATTCACCGTAAAAATGTTAAAATATTGACTGTTAAAAAGTTCACCAATAATGCAATTACCAGAAATTGTATAACAGCTTTTAAGTGGTCAAGATCAAAAACATCAAGATTTTTATCATGTTTTATCAGCAGAAATAATTTTTACTGTTAGATAAATAGGAGGACTTATCTATTGATTTCCTTTGGTTTTAAGTGTAACTGTAAATAATTAATAGGTTAGTCTCTCAATTTTATTTTATGTTCATAGGAGTAAAATTAACATTTTTCTTTCAACGTTCATGGTCTTGGGGGTATACACTGATGGTATTCTGATGCTGCTGATTATTTTGTACATGCTTTAAAATCTTTCGACTGCTGTAAGAATTTTGAATTTAATTTCTATTTAAGTATTTTTTTTTATTGTTTTGGAATCTGCAATTAATTATTTCTTTGCAAGCAACGATTAGCACCTCTTTCTCATGTTTCTCCTTCGTGTGTTGCAGGTCAAATACACTGATGGTTCCATGGGTTACAAAGCCAGAAATGAAATCCTGAACGAGTTACCCCAAGACTTCAGTTAAATTATATTAGTTCAAGTGTGCAAGCAATAGGCGATTGATCATTGCAGCTTATTTTTGTCCTTTCTCTGTTCTCTAATTGGTTTTAATCTTTTTATCGTTGAGTGTAATTCTCTTTTTAAAACTTTAAGAATAAGTTTCATTACAATGAATAAATCGTTTGAAAAACAGAACAACTCATTTTGTTTTGTCACTTCTCTGCCAACAATCTACTACATCAGTTACATCTGGATGAAAAGTGTCTGTAGCCTCCGTAAAATGGAATTTTACACATGCGTCAGCTATTTAACAAGTTTGGTATCTTATTTCTTAGTTTTTAGTTAAAGATCTATCAACAGCCTTTTATTTTTGTGGAGACTTTCTTTCCCATGCTTTGGCATATCTACTAAATTATGTCAATTTATACAAAATGAAAAACACATCAAGCTTACAGCAATCAAACAACAAGCGGCTAAAAAATCATAAGTTTTGAAGTGTTTTAATAAGTTTTGTAATCAATTGATGCTAAGAGTGGACGCTGGATCATGAAGAGGATTTGAAAATAAATTGTGACGAAGGATATTGATATATCAAGTCAGGGACTGTAATATTGTATTGTATGATCAATTATCATTTTTATCTGAAGCCGTCACTGCTAATTGCCTTCAAATTAACTGAAGGACTCATCAACTCTAGGGGTGTTCAAACCAATTCTTACCAGAACACTATCAATATCGTCTCTTACCGAAAATGGAGGCAGTATCGACAGTGGCGATGATATCGTTGACAGCCAGCCTTATCAGATTTTTGAGAGCTCGCACTCAATGCATTGTTGCCCTGCGTGTCGGTTTATCAGATTGCCCGGCGCGGTGCGTAAAATAGATGTACAAATAGCAACAGCTTATTTTCGTCAGCTCCGAAAACTCTGATCACTATCGGCAAGAGCGTTCTTATCGTAACTTTTTCTTGACGGAACTGTTTCGGTAGCTTACCGACAACCGATAGAACAGCCCTAATCAACTCTAATCAATGAGTTATAGCTCTGTACAAAAAACGGTGATTATGTACAAAAAAATCTGGTAAAACCTAAGTGCTCAGAGTTCTACCCTAAAAATTCAGGCAAGGAATTTTTAAGTAATAGTTATGTTAATTGCCTCATTTGGATTCACTTTGGCACCTCCACAGGCCCACGGGGTTAGGGGGCCTCCGTCCTCAATTTAAATTTTTGACATTTCAGTGATGATCAAAGTTTCCATAGCCATAGAAATTTTGCGACAGAAAATAGCGAATATCTCCTAAACCGTTGGTCGGAGAGCAAAATGTAGCCAAGGTTTTAACTTTGCTGGACATCTGGATTTACTTTTGAATCCCCTCAGGCCCCTGCCGTAAGAGATCTCCATTAGCCTCACATTTCTGTCGAAATTGTTTTCCAGTAAATGTTCCTTATGCATGAGGAAGTTATCTTGATGTCAGTCTGACAGAGTAGACCCACTGACGTTAATCTGTGTCATCTAGACTAATTGTAGTCTCCTGCTCAAAGGAACGTACCTCGATTGCACTGTATCAGAATTTCTTACCTACATTTATTTTCAGGAAAACTATCAGATTAATTTTCCCAAAATACCCAGTCCTTTCATTCTTGTAAAAAGGACTCTGAAACGTTTGCCAGACTAATTCATGTGACAGTTCTCCCATGAAAAAGTAAAGAGTTCATAGAAATACTGAAACAGTACAGACGAGCAACATTCCTTGGTGCAAAAAACACCGTATTAGGTCTTGTCCACACGAGAGCGGTTTGCAGGATTTCGAGCATACTTATTCCCGAAACTTAGGCTTTAACTTATTCCCTGAAATTCCAGCTTGTTGAGCTTATTCCTGCCAAGTTCTGTGAACTATGATCAATTGCTCATGTGGACAAGGCTTAATGCCAGGGTATTATGGTTCTTGCACACAAAAAAGTCAAGATAGCTGTGTCTATCCAGAGAACCCACGCAGGGAGAGAATGGCCACTTTTTCAAGGGTCTTGAAAATTGGTGGAACTCCACGCAACAGTTGAGTTCCCTCTGGGAGAAATTGATGAAATATCTGATAAAGAATGTGAAAAAATGAAATTGATGGAAATTTTTATGTCAAGATGACATGATAATTCGAAGGAATCCACAAATTGGTTGGAAACAGTGTTCACGCGTCATTTTTAATTCAAAATGTGGAGCGTAAAACAAGGGGATACAACAATTTTTCCTTGGCTGTGGCAGTTCTGATTCATTATGAATTGTTTTATGAGGAAATCTTAGGGAAAAAACATGTGCACAGTTTCATATTTACTTCGTAGGGTATCCTATTACCACAGGTACTCATTCAAGATTCGACTTGATAAAAGGAGTCAATGATGAAAACAAAAGAGTCTTAAAAAATACAATTCTGTAATTGATATTAAAAAAGAAAATCTCTCTTAGACAGGCATAAAATTATTCTTAGTCACAAAAAACTAAAAAAATGAAGGGTAGAGCAGTACCCTATCAAATCACAGCAAATTAAAAAAACTTGAACAACTCCAGAAATTCACTGCTTTTTCTTTCCCTGGGGCTTGCCCTTCTTTTTCTTGCCTATCGACTCGGTCAACTTCTTGACATCTTGCTTAGAATCTTCTTGGCTGACTTTCTTCTGCTTGGCAGCGTTTTTCTTTCCTACAGGCTTCGTTGCTGAAACATCCGTGCCCTCTGATGTCAGTTGGACGCATCGCTCAATTGCGGCTTTCAGTTGGGGTTGCTCAGGCACAGATTGTTTTGTCTTTTTCTTGGTCCTTGCAGCCTTGCGCTCAGCACCTTTCAGAACTTTGTACACTTTCTTGATTAGGGGTCCAAACTTTTCATTTTTATACATTGGCTCAGTCTTTACCCATGTCTGAAAAATAAAACAGAGATAAAATCAGATTGAGCATTGAGATTCTCTGGCACTTCTCTGGAAAGGAAAATTTTCAAGAGAAACAAACCTTCATTTTCAAATTAATGATAGATTCAGAAACGTCATTGGAGACAAACAACAACAACCACGTACTAGAGAAAGTTACAGCTCGTACAGAGAATAGTAGATAACTCACATTTAGAGGACAGTGTAAACTTTGATAATTGGACGTATTTATGCTAAAAGAAACTATAAACATAGGGGTTGAGTGCAAACATAGTTCCTCTCAGTCTAAATGCATCCAATTGGTAATATTTAGGCCCATCATAAAAGCTCAATTTCGGGTACGACAGCCTTGGCTTGTAAATATTGATTCGTTCATTCACACTTGGATCGACAAAATCCAGTAATACCACCACTACGGCCTGTCTCGCACACTACAAAAATGCTTCAATACTCTGCTAAAAAGAGACTGCGATTGCTGCACTTGCACTATGGCTGCAGTATAGGTGAACTGAAGTGGGAATTTGCATAAAAACCTGAGTATTTTAATCTAAAGAGCAAGGAAAGGTCCATGAGGCAGGGAGACTCTCCTTGGTGCCTGTGAGAACTCTGGATTATAAAAGCAAGATGATCCTCTGAGACTAATTATTGATTCAAAAAATTGTTTATTGCGCTGATAAAAGGAATAGATTATCTGAGTCTCCAGTGCATATTATTTATGGAGTTGTGAGTTTTGCAGGAACACAGCATTATGGGAAAAAGTTTATTGCAATGGGCAAGAAAACGATGGAACAAAGAAATTGGTCAACCCCCCCCTTCCCCCCAGAAATCCACGTTACAATGGTGGCATATTTTGACGTTTTCTTGCTGAATTTTTCAAATTTCATTTCCAAAACTTTCTTCTACTGAGAAAACAGAAAAATACAAAATAAACGATTATGGAAAAATAAAAGAAAGAAGGTTAAAACTAAAAGCTACTTACAACATAATTCTTTTTCCATAGTGGCAGCTTGTCGTACTTCTTGGATCTTCTAATGAGGTCAGCTTCATCTTTCGGGATTTTTTTCTGTGACAAAATGAGATCAATTGTGTTTTGCCAAGCTTCAATTTTCTCCTTTCTCCTTTGCAAGATCTTCTCTTCCTGTTCTTTTGTCAAAGGCTCCTTTGGTTTTTGTGGGCCTTTTACAGCGGGAGATCCATTTACAGGGGTTTCTGCTTTGGATCCTTTTTTCTTGCCTCGCCTTGTTTTTTTGCCTGCATTTGGGCTTGCGCTAACTTTGGTAACTGCCTCAGAATTTTTATTAGCATTCTTCGCTTTATTTACCTTGAAATTCTTTTTCTTCTCAAACTTGGATACACCTGTACCATTAGTATTATTACTATTTGGCACACCTGCAGCTTCTGTTTTCACCTTCTTGTTAGGAGAACCGGGTTCTTGTTTGATAGATTTTGCAAATTTTGGTTGCTTGTTGGGCGCAGCATTGGGGGAGCCTGGTTCTTGTTTGATTTGTTTCTTCTTTTCTTGATTACTGAAAAACAAATTGAAAGAGAGCAAATTAAAATTTTTTATTTTGATACCGATTTCATGATTTTTTTGGGTGAATACTTGAACACTAAAGATCCAATCTTAATCAATTTAATAGAATCCTTTGAGCTTCTAACTCGCATTTTAAACTTGAATAATGCAAGGGGCTTATGAGAAGGTGCTTAATTTTGGGCTCTTAGGTATGACATTCAACAGATATAGATACTAAGGAGGTAAATTCTTGTTCTTATCTTTACTTCAACAATACAGAAGACGGACCTTTTGCTCCTTATCTACACATCTACTCATCAACAGGTTGCCCGATAAGCATAATGGATGTATTTGATGGGAACTAGCCTGACATGACCGGATTTACATAAGTGCCACCCCTAGGCCGTCAAGATTTTGCCGTCCCCCAAAACTTATCGCCGTGTCTTTTAATGGAAAACATTTTGTGAAATTAGTAATAATGGCTTCATGAAGATCAGTAAAAGTAAGAGAACTCATTGAATTTATGTAGTAAGACATTGCATAAAGCCAATATTGGTCCTGGCAGAGAAATATCTCTTTCTATCTGTTTTCATTGCAGTCTTGTTTAGCATTTTTTGAGAAGCAATGCTACAGTGTTCACTTACTATAGAGTCCAATACATCAATTTTACCTAAATCAATGTTTGAAAGACAGTTATCTAAGAGTGTCTCAGAGGTCTTATCAAATCTGGTGAAAGTGTTTTCAATATTGAATTTCAGATTAAATGAGGCAGCTAATGTCCTAAAAGATTTGTTATGACAGCAGGAGTAATCATTCATATCTACATTGAAATCCCCAAAGAATATTTTTTCATTTTCTTGCGGTTTAACTTCTGCTGGTAACTTGTCCAGATTTTCCAAAACATTTTAAAAATCTCCAGTTGGTGGATGATGAATAGTTATAATGTGGACAGGTTTAACAATTTGGACCAAATCTGTCATAGTGATCTTAATACCTGTGAGTTCAAAAACCTCTTCAATAGCCAAGTGATGTATATTCAGTTGGTCAGTTAGGTTGAACATAAATACTAGCTCCTCCTCCCCCCTTAACTTTTCGATTAAAAGACGAAGTAATTTTGAACTGATCCAAATTGATGACATCAGTTACCTCATTTGTGTTGAAAAACCACAGTTGATATTTTAAGAGTTTTGTAATACTTTTATACTTAAATTTGACTTAAAAAATAGCTAAAAAGGGTTTCCTAATACTAACATTGTAGCAATTTTTTAGAAGTTGTCTTTCTGACATTTAAGAGTTTTTCAAAGTATTTTTTAACAGTCGTTGCTGCTAGGGAACTAGTTTAACCCTTTGACGGCCGCGTTAGGAATACGGCCGCCGATAGTGGCGCTCTCTGTCAAGGATAAGATAAAGATGTAGTTCACATATTTGCCGACAGAGTGCGCATATGCTGTATACTTAATTTCATTGAAAAACAAGGGAGCTAGAGCGGGAAATACGAACGCGAGGCGCAGCACGAGAATACTCGGGCGTGGTCTGTGACGGTGGCTTGCCGCAACCCGAGTATTCTCGGGCGTGGTACTCAAAGGGTTAAGGTGATTCGTCAAGCTCAAAAGAAGTGGTCGAACTGGCATGCGATATATCGCATCTTTTAGGTCAAAAATCTCGGAAGATTTTGAATTTTTAGCAAAACAAAGGACGATTGCCCCTGCGTATGAGCCTAAAGAATCGTTCTAAACCCAAAAATTGGCAAAATTCAGAGAAATGAGAGCAGAATAGTGTTTGTGAAAAAACCTCGCATTCGATTCAGCTATCGATTTCTGTAAGTATCGAATGCGAGGTTTTTTTTCCAAACACTATTCTGCTTTCATTTCTCTGAATTTTACCAATTTTTGGGTTTAGAACGATTCTTAAGGCTCATGCGCAGGGGCTATCGTCCTTTGTTTTGCTGAAAATTCAAAATCTGCCGAGGTTTTTGACCGAAAAGATGCGTTATATCACATGCAAGTTCAACCACGTCACTTGAGCTTGACGAATCACCTTAAACTTATTTTTTTAAAATTCACGACAAATTCAATACATTACAGTGGCTAAGAAGTTACTTACAATTTATTCTTCACTTCCTCGATGCCTTTAGTGATGCTGCCCTTTTCTTTTCCCTTCTTTTCAATTTTGCCATTGAGGACACCCAATTTCTTCTCCTTCTTCACTTGTTTTTTGCTGACTGCTGGAAGGCCCATTTTGAGCTAAGCTAAAAAGGAGAAAAAGTAGAGAATTAATAAATTAGTACTACCAAACCATAATTTAGGAGCCATTATTGAGATATCTCCTTGAAGCTGAGTCATGACGCTAGAATAATACAAATTTCTGAGCTGAAGGCTGATTGAAGGGCAGTATTTACCCTTGATTAAACAGTGAGTAAACTTATCCAATGCCAGTTGGTTTTTCTGTTCACTGAACATAACTCAATGGTCCCCTCGAACTTAAGACCAACAGACCAATGGACATTGGGTGGAGATGTTAAGCATACATAGTACGTAAACACACAAGCCATGGGGCGAGTCAATCAGAGTCGAACAATGCTGACTACTTAGCGTCAAATAATTCTGGTTTCAAACCACTTGGACAACATATCTTGGATTAGTAATGAACAACACAACAAATGCTGTTGATTCAACATTTTTACTTACCTGCTTGTCATAGAAAATAAATATTGACCAAGTTGAGATTAATAAGTGGACGTACTTTTGTTGTTTGTTTACATTTTTGACGACCAGCCTACTGAATGTGATTAAGATGAATTTTCAAAAACCCCCTAGGGCTAGTCCTGTGCTTAATCCCCCACTCCCCTTATACCCAGCCCCAGATAACCACTGCGTGAGGCCATCGAACACAGGTAACCTGGCTAGGAACGAACCCAGGACCTCCTATTAGTAGGAACACCACAAGCTGCCAATAAATCATCTGTATTATATTGAATATGGACACATTTCGGCTACCTAGAACTGTGTTGCATGCTAACCCTGAGCACATAGAACCTTTCAGCTCTAATAACATCCGTACAATGCGTAACGTACTTGAGTAGTTTTCCAGAAGAACCAACTTTTCTTGTCGCTAAAGTATGCGATAAATTCATTTCTACTCAACTTTGGGACAGTGTAATGAAAAATTCCCATTTTTTCAAATGTGAGCTCAGCACAATTGGCCCAGTTCTCATAGCTTTGAAATGGATATTGCTGCTTCTGACAAATAGTAATCGCTGAGCCTATAAGCCAAGCAATACGCTAGGCAGTATTTAGGTTCAGAGAGACGGAAAACTCAGAGCTGCCACCAAGCACTCGTCATTACAGAGCTGATCTCACTGACTTGAGAAAGGTGCGTACCATATGTGATAGCAACAAAAACAGCAAAACTACAGGTTTAGCTGTGCAAATTGATCCTAGAAACTGGGCGGACGGAGTCGTATGCTAGGACTCCTTTCACTGCACACCCTCTCATGATCAGGTAGTAGGATCATGGCTGAGTTCTGATATCAGCAGTATAGAATTCTGATATAAAGCAGAAATTAAGGTTGCGGTTGATCAATTTGACCAAGATCTTTCGTTGAGGATGAAGTTACTAACTTCGTTTTGGACAAGCATGGCAAATAGACTCACCTACAGATTTCCTGATGGGTTTAAACTTGATGGTACAGCAAGCTGCCTGAAAATTGATGGAAAAGACACTAAATAAAGAACTACAGCATCATTAAAGATTGATATTTAAGGAAATTCGGTGAAAAACATGCGGCCACGCCATGTGCAAAGGCTGAGGCTGAGGATGCACTTAAAATTGTACTTTGGAGGTTAGGTTCTTTTCTTTGAGTTTTGAATGTTTCCGGTTCGGTCCATTCTATGTTCCACAGTGACACAAGTGACACCAGGAATTGAAACTGGACAGGCTGGCGGGAATTTCGAATTCTCACATTCCAACATGTTGACTACGATAAATTGATTATTGATCTGTAATATGGTTCTAATGTTGATCTGATCTCTTTACGTACCAAAATCAAATTTTTGCTGATTTAAAAAACGATTTCCATCAATTTTTAAATATCAATGGCTTGAATAAAAAAATTCACATCTCCATTGAAACATTTCGAAATTTCCAAGGATGTTCTGTTTAGAAGGAAAACTAACGAATAAACTCTTTCTAATTTTCTGATTTTAAGATAAGAGAAAAAAATTAAAAGAAAATTTAAAGGAAAACTATTGATTAGTTTTTGTTGTAAAATTAAACATGAGTGGCGATTTTCAACGTCACAATCAGAGGTATACTTACATTCTCTTCCTAAAGTCATTCATATTCAATTGAATATAAAAAGGAAAAATTACCTGGTGACTTCACAGTCCGTTTTCCTAAAATTCAAATTTTGAACTCATAGTAAGTTAAAATAAAAGCAAAAATATTCTAGAAGTGACTTCATTAATTCGTCACCTTCCCGGCAAAGTATCACAAGCGCCATTTTTACCGAAATTGAGTTATGAATAGTTCCGAAATAACGAGATGCATTTACATACGAAAATAATCATTTTTTTTACAACAAATATGTAGAAATATGAATAAAAGTCGATTAAAGTTGATGTACTTTCGTATCACAAGCGCCATTTGGGAGAAAAGTATCACAAGCGCCAAGTTCGGCAACTGCCTACCTTTCTGATTGATTTACAATTTTTGTCACGGCAGTCTTCGGAATGACTTGAAACTAAATTATTTTCGCATGTAATTACATCTCGTTATTTCGAATATAATATTTTTTTTAGACTAAATATAAATAAATATTTAAAATACTCCATTGAAGTTGACGAACTTTCGTATCATAAGCGCCATGTAAGAGAAAAGTATCACAAGCGCCAAGTTGGGAATAATCGCTCATCTTTGAGATTGATTTTCGATATTAGTATCAACAACTTTTGGAATGACTTGGAGCGATTCGTCACTTTTCGGCCGAAGTATCACAAGCGCTATTTTTATTAAAGTTGAGTTATGGGTAGTTTTGAATTAATAAGATGCATTTACATACGAAAATAATATTTTTTTTTTAGATTAAAAATGAAGAAATATGGAAAAAACTCCGTTAAATTTGATGGGCTTTCGTATCACAAGCGCCAATAGATTCTCAGAGTGCCCCGAGAAGCCGATATCACAAGCGCCAATTTTCAAAGAAAAACCCGTTTTTTTAAAGAAATTTTATTAAAATTCGAAGCAGGGAGGTGTGCTGGATCTATATTTCAAGTTTCAAGCCAAGCATCCGTCTTTTACGGTCGCAATTCAGTTTTTTGTGTCTCTTGAAAAGTTGGCAAAGTGGCCCTTGTGATACTTTGCCGGGAAGGTGACGAATTTATATTGTCGGCTCACATAGCTTTGATCTGCTGGATCACTGCCTTGATTTTCCAATAGTTGGACCGGTTGGTTGGACCTCAAAATATATGAATATAAGAGGCAAAAAATTACATCTTGCAAATTAGATTTTTTTCAAATAATCTGATAATGACTTGGAATTAATCATGTGTACGTCAAAGTATTATCAACGGGGATGAATAGAGGATTTAAATTGCTTCGATACATTTTGGTAGTTAATTTCGATTGGAGTTCAATTGGAGAACTATTTCCTTATCCGCCACCTTTCTTTAGAAAAAAATGCAAATCTTTAACTTGCATAATTTGGCCATTGATTTCCCAGAATGATTATTTTCATTTAGTAAACCTCATTACCCAGTCGAAAGAAAGACACGTTCAAGATTAAGATCATAAAATAAGTGTATTTATCAAGGAGTAAAACAATCGTAGAGCACCGTTTTATGTAAAAAATGTTACAATAAAAGTCAAAACATAACATGAGATACAGCAATTACATAATTCTAGTTACAAAATTTTTAAGACACATAATGGACGGGAAAAATTTTCAAGGCAGCAAAATTTGGTCAATACAAAGCTGGAGGAGACTAAGACAGTCCTTGGCAATATAAAGATTTGCACGATGAGAGGCTTCAGCACTCAATGAAGAGACTAACTTTCTGTGAATTTCTCTTATCTGTGTAGTCCTCTAATCATTATTTTGTTGTATAAACAAGATAATATATCTGAGAAAATAAAGACATATTCTTAGAAGGTATGTCAAAATGTAAGTGTCAAATTCTTGTGGGAGGAAACTGATGATTTTGTGTTCAAAAAATTCTGGCAGATAACATTTTATTTCATTCGATGGGTTTTTATACCAAATAGTAAAAAATAGAGAAAACATGATGTTCCAATATTTCAGAGGATCATTTTAAATAGTCCAAGGCAATAAAAAAGACCATTTTTTAGCTGACACGACCATTTTTATGACCATTCTTTATCTTTGCAAACTTAAATTGATTCAAATACATGTGTCGTGAATGTGATGAGGAAAAAAATATTGGCATGATTTTGAATCAACTCTCTGGAAAGTAACCATCTGACGCGATCATACTCAGCCTCCTCCAGTTAAGTATTTCAACAAATTTTGCACTTTTTCTTCTTTTTTTAGTGAGATTGATTAGTCCAAGGTAAAACACTATAAGACAAAAATGAACAAAAAATTAATTCTTTTAAACACTAGAATTATTAAAAAATAATCCTGATCTAATAAGCAGCAAAATTGAGGGGGGTCGACTGACAGGCTTGTCAGAACTCGATAAGCAATTAGGATTAGGTAATTGCCAAAAATAATAATACAAAATTGTTGCAAAGATGTTGCTGCATCATTAATTAGGCAGTAAAGTTCTGACAAGGTTTTTGCAACCATCATTTGTCGAGCGGATGGAAAATTGAGAGACTTAAATTTGTTCAGTACACAAAGAAAAATTAAAAACATGAACTGGGCTTATTTGCCCTATAAGGGCTTTGCATAGATGCTCATTAAATATTCTAGTGGAGATTTGTTATAAGTCTCAACAAACCTAAGATGTTCAATTGATCTTGTTATAAGTTTGATGTTCTCGTGCCGAAAGAAACTATGTGCATGGGGTTTGCATGAAAAACAGTTCCTTTTATCATAAATACATCCAGTTGCAATGTCAATTATAGAAAAAATCGCTCTCCAACCTCAATTTCTCCGCCTACAAGGAACAAAATTACAAGACTATGTACAGGAAATGAGAAATAAACTTTAGAGCAAGGGAAGTTAAAAATTATACAAAAGTTGAATTCGAAAGTCATATAAATTGTTTAAGTACGGAAACTGAACGATCTGCATCTGTTTTCAAAGAATTTGTGCAAACAATACTGAAAAAATTCAACAAAATAAGGGTCTAGTGCCTGCTTTAAAATTGTTCACAAGACACGAATTTGTGAAATCGTTTTAACATATAAAGAGTTTTTTTACAGTCAGGGAGAGTTGCTTATTAAAACATAGGTGAAAAATATTGTGAATCAAAGATGAGCCAGACTTAGCACCTTCCAAGATGGCTATGAGAGTTAGTTAATTGACCCAAGTGCTTGGCTAAGCATCATCGATGGAAAACTCAAAATAGGAGCTGCAAAACGTGAGACTGAAAGTCAAGAGTCTAATATTCTGAGTTCTTCCGTAGCTGAAAGGAGATTTGAAAAAGAACCAGAGCCAATCAACTAACGATCACAATACTTCAGGCATATTGCAACCGTGGGCCTGGCGAGGGAAGAGATGAAGAACAGTGCACTTTTAGTACGATTATTCAGAGAAAACCCTGGGAAGAAGATATCCTTCCATAAAACTCTGTTCTAATAAAGCAGGTCGCAACTTTCTTGGATGTGGGTGGCACAATGCCAAAAAGCTAATAAATATGAGTTTGTGAATTTCACAATGTCTTTATGTCTTTTTCCAAGGAAATTATCAACTTTTACTCTCGAGACTACCATTTTTTTGTGCACTCTCCAATTGGACAATATTGATCAATACTTCTTCAACCACTACCTTCGAAACGGGAAAAGTTTTCTCTTCGGATGTCACATTAGTGGATAAGCCACAGCAGTAAATTAATGCGCTATCTTCTGAGGGAAAGAGTGCAACTTCAGCACCTCCAGTGAAAATAATCAATCTGATTATTCTAAATATGTAATATCTATTTCATCGAATGGACAGCAGAACCACTCAAATGGATCTTTTTCACTGGGGATTCCTTGGCAGTATTTCTCTCATAGGTTGATAATAGCACAGTTTCAAATGAAAAAAAAAACTTTCTGCATCAATTAGCTAACTTTTATTACGTTCACATTCAAAAAACATCTTTAAAAAAAAAGGCACATTAGGCTTGTTTTAAAAATTATAAGTACGGTTCAGTTAATGGTTATGATTTCATTTATAAGTTTATGACTTATTGTAAGCCTTGCTGAGCTTTCTACTGATTAATTTTTAGTTTCCTAACATTTTTTTTTATAAATATACTTTGACAGAACAAATTGAATCAGAGATAAAATTAAACTCTTCTTCAGCACTATTACTTCTCTTAAATTGGGATAATGAAGTGGAATTTCATAAAAATATTTTGAGTTTTGTACTTGATGAATTCTTATGCATACAACATTCACAGAGAAAACGTGATAGGAAATTGTGGTTGAAATTTGCTATAAAGTTGTCAATTTTCCATAAAGATGTAAAATAAAGTTTTTGATATGAAGAAAGTTATGCTTTGATTGCGATAATGGATTTGAAAAATTCAGTAGTTAATGTTTTCTACATTTTAAAATCTAATCTAAACTGACAGAAACTCCTCTTTTGAGCTGATAGATGAGGTGAAGATGCCTTACAGAAAAAATACTGATATCCTGTAGCTCAAAAAAAGCTCTGCAAGGAAAAGAAAGAAAATAATAGTAGCATAGCTCAAAATCATTAAAAAAAAATGCATATCTCTAAAAAGTATAATACTGGACTCAAAGACAACTATAAATTTGGCAACAGAGGAGAGTTAAAAACTTTGACAATACATAAAATTACATAGAAAACAGGCACTCGGCTCACATTTGGCAAATATAAAAATCATGCTAAAAAAAATATTTCTAAGACAGGACGGAACACAACAGCTGCGTACTTTCAAAATCAAATGATTAAATGAAATGACACTTAAAATATTGAAAACAAGTTTGAAGGATGATTTTGTGCAAATGGGAAACACAGATTAGGTTTCTGTGGTGCAGAAATAGGGAATTCAGTAGACACACAGAACTTTTCTACTCTGCAGCTCCATCAAAGTTAAAAAAGGTTAGAAATAAGACTCGTGTTTGAATTAAGATAATTTCACCATGTACAGTCCTAGTTGATGAATGTACCTGTGCAATGATATTATTAAATCTTTTGATTTTCACACAGAAAGTAAGTTACAGGGTTAAACAAGAATGTGAGAAAAAGGTTAAATTTTTTAACTTCTCTGCCAGAGCTGAGAGTTCAAGTAAATTGGATTTGCAAAAGGTGTGAGAAAATCTTGTTTATTTTTTACTTATAGCTCTGCGGACTTTCATAATACTGAACACTTTGTAGATATTTAGATCTCTTTCCTGGAGTTGTTCAGCTATATGATGTCAAAATTCCTTTCAGAACAGATCGTATTAATTGTAAAAAAAGATTCCAATCTTTTTCAAAATAGGTGAATTTACATGACTAATTGCTTCTCCGATGATTTTACCAACTATTAGTCCCTAAAAGAATTGCTTTTAACGATCATTAAAAAAACGTTGCCACTGCCTACGTAAAAACAGATAGGCTTACAGAGAAAAATTCATAATTCAAAAACATATGCTAAAATATTTCATTATTTGATTCACTTTCATCGTTTAATGAAAGACACGCAGCTAAATATAAAACCAGACAAATACAGTAAAATCTCATTCGTGCATACCATAAACTAGCTGATATTTAGTAGGGATCTAAGCCCAAAGATACGGTTGATTGTCTTCTGTTGAGACTCAATTTTTGATCAGTTTCCCGATCCAAAGTACACTAATAAGTTACATAAAAACATCACATTGACACATGGAAAGAGAAAATTACTAAAATCATAAAATAACCTAGAAAAGTTCCCTTTCCAGAAATAAAATGATTTACTTAAGAACATTTCACCTCGAATTCGCTTGGATAAAGCTTTTGATAAGTTACAATAAATACAAAAGGATGGTTTAAAATTATGCAACGTAAAGGAGGAACACACAGTTCCATCAAATTCGTTGCCAGGGAGGACACGAGTGTGCGGCTTAACCGCTGTTGCGGAGATCGAGGGAGGCGCGAAGCATGAGACAGCTTTCCACCCAGAAGTTGGGTCGCTCCAGCATCTGCTGCCACAGAGTTGCTTCTTTATCATTGGAATCCATCCAATCTACTACTTTGCCTTGATGTTTACCTGTACAAAAAAGAAATGACAGTGAGTGTTTGAACTTGATCAAGATGTTCATTGCTTAACCATTCTTGGGAACAATTTTTCAAGTGCACTCCTAAGACCAGAACATTCAGAGTAACTGGTCAATTCTGTGATGTCTTCTTCTTGAAGTAAAAATATTATAAAATAAATAATTAATTAAAAGATATGCCAGAACAAGCATAATATGAAGAATTAACAGTATATTTTCCTGGATACATTTCGGCTAATAGCCATCTTCAGCAAAAAAAATTCACAAAAACACAAGAGAGAGCACTGTATAAAGATAAAGATGTATCACAATGCATGTTCAGAACGATGATCAAAAAAGCCAAGGAAAAGTAATGAAAGAATTATCAAAAAATTAAACACAGACAAAAATCGATCTCCATTCTCTGATAATGGAGATCGAATCGCAATTATCTAAACAATGCAATATATCGCATTTCAATGTCTTGACGTTTTAACATAAACTTTCAATACTCAACCCGCTAAGGTCAGGACCTCTGACCCTGAAATGCATTTTAAAAACTTCGGTCAGAACATTTTAATCCTCTATTATCTGAAGATTCAAAAATGAATAATTGCTAATTTTAAGGAAAGAGGTAATAATTACCTGAGCCAAGTGACAGTCTAACACCACCAAGAAACTCATTACTGGCCAGTCGGTCGTGGTCCCAAATGGTCAGCTCAATTGCTCTATCTTGGAGATCAGTGAGTGCAACTCCTGGGTACGTGAAGGTGTAGTTCCAAGCTGGAGAACATGAACGTCGGACAACTGGCGTTTTCTGCTTGTTGCTTTTTCCTTTGTCCGGGAGCAAATAGCTGTTGAACAAAAAGCAAAAATTAGACAGGTTGTATAAGAAAAAAGGAAAAATAAAATTTGAGCTGATGCCAGACACAAAACCATTGAACAAATTTTGCAATACAGACCCCATAGTTTTAAATCTGTGCTGTCTCCAATAAGGAGATGGAATTGTTGAAGTACATTTAATTGGGGAAGCCTGAGGTAATTTCACGATTTTGGAGCTACATGAAGCAGCTGTCATTAATGCAGGCTGCTTTGATTGTCACCAAAAAATTTGTAGAGAAAATTCGGACAAACTTGCAAAAATATCTAGATGACAAGACTTAAATATGCAAAAATAATAGTTGCAACGCTTCAGGCACATAATGTGTTCCGTAAAAAGTCTACAACCAAGTTGTCAACTCCACAAGTTCCAAGCCTATTGTCCTCTACAGTCTGTGATCTCATAGGATTCAATTAACTTGCATAGCAGCACACGTAATGCTCATTGTACACAATAAAAGCCATTTTTTGAGTATGGAACATTTCAATATCTCACAACACCAAACTCGAAAACAGATTAAATAATGATAAAACGGAATAATTTTCATAGACAAGAACAGACAAGACATTTCTCATTTTCTCAGACAAGAATAATTTTTCTTTGAAAAAAAAAAAAAAAAAAAAAAAAAAAAATTATTTTCAATTTGACACCATTGAATTTTTGCAGTTGAAAAAAGTAAAAACTTTTGTAATTGGTTTATTCCATATTTTAGTGTTGGAGACTGTTTTATAGGTTGACACCAACATCTTGTTTGGATTATTTTTTTTGTTTTTTCATCATTGATCTGATTGTCATACACCCAAATATAGAATGATGGTGCAAATTTTTTTAATTCTTTTACTACTTTAACATACTTAAAATTTAAATCACAATTTTTGATAATTTTTGAGACTAATTTAAGATCATTTAATTTTTGAGTTTAAAATAGCAAATCCATAAAATCATTCTACACTGTCCGCATCAGACATAAAAACAAAATTTAAAGCAATCGATACCTTTTACAGAAAGGATCAGAAGTTCCGTTATTCTTTACAGCTAGAAGATTTTTAGCTTCTTTCACAAGTACGTGCAATGTTCCCTTTGAGGCTCTCTTCTTCATGCCTTGATCCGGGGGAACAAACTTCAGTGCAACGATGATCTCCCCTTTAGCATTTACAAAGTCTTCTAAAGGTTCCGACTGAAAGAAAAATGAATGATTCATCACACTTTGGAAAATAAAAGACAATCTTTATGTAATTACATAGTGACTAAATCAGGAAGAGAAATCAAAGTGTCACCTAATGACATTTTATGTTATAAGAAGGCACTCAGTTCCTACAGAAAAGATTACCGGGGAAGAACTTATAAAAATTTACCAAGAAATTCACGTATGGAGATTTATTGTCCGTAGACTGCATGAGCAAACTGACCTTAGAGTAGACAGTAGAACATCAGAAATACCCATTTATTACGATTGCAAAATTTAAAATTGTCATATTTTGGTGATTAGACATCCGCTTAGCCATAGAGAAGCATTGCCAGTGCTTTCCTTAGAGTCATCATCAATTAAATAATAACATGATGAGGTAGATAGGGCAAGTGAAATCGCAAGTTTGATTTACTGCCAACTTTGCAGTGAATAAATGTTTGAGGTCATACTTTTCTAGGGACTAAGATCATTATGAAAAGAAAAATTGTTTCTTTCCTTACAGATTTTGTAGCCATCAAGCACAAACTTTAAATATTGTCACGGAGAAAACAGGAGCAAAGTTTGCATTCACTAAATAATTACAGCATTCTATACAAACAATTAGAAACTTAATACTGTAAATTAATGCAAAAAATACTCACTCTCTCTTGCAGCGGGTAGAAGTGGGGGAGTGGATCGTCAAATATTTTGTTCTCAAGAGGCATCATGACCTCTCCAAGGAAATCATTGCGACCGAACATATCCGAGTGCCAAATCGTGAGCCACATGGTTCGTGTCTCCAAATCTTCTAGGTTAATATGGAACTATGACAAAAATACAAGATTGAAACATGTGAACAAATAAAACCCACAGGGACAAGCTAAGGGTACAAAACTATTGCATGTATCTATACTTTTTGATTATTATATAGAAACCAATTAAGCAATTATCAGCTGTTTATCGTTAAAATTTATTCGTACTGTTGTCGGCTGATGTCCATGCAGCCCACCAACCTAGGTATGCAAAATAATACATGTTACGATGCTCTCGTCGTAGAAACGATGATGAGATGCTGAGCTGCGTCCCAAACAATGCCAGCATTGTAAGCATGACCATAATTTTTTCCTACTACGCAGCATTACGTTGCTCACCATATCTGCACTGTGTCCTACACGTGAGTTTTTGTGACTGCATTCCTTTGTGAGTGCACAGCACAAGCATAAGCGCAACCTTGATTCTTATCAGGACGCCAATCTTTTTTTTTCATGTCCCCCATATTTAATTACACCTTTTTACAAAAAAAAAGATTCAAAATTCCAGAGAAGCCGGACAGTCTCTTCTCATAAGAACGCTACTGCAACACCACTGTGTTTCACCCATCAGCTTGTTCAACAAGCGCGCTGACAGATAATGAAGAACCGTAAAATGTTTCAATGTAAATTTTAATGTTTCTGAAAAAAGAAAAGGCGATTTACCCACAAAGAAGGGCTAAAGTCAAGAGTGGTTTGTACTGAAGCTCAGTAGGTAGGAATACGAACACCACACTTAATCTTCAATAATTAATCATAAGTCCTACGACTTTAACTACACATTAAACCCATATCTCACTGCTCAATATCTTCTTGAGGAACATTTCCATTCATGAATTGACTGAAGTTTTTCCTTTTTAAGTTCGATGAGAATTGAACCTACAAACAAGCTGACAAAAAAAAATTATGCAAATCTACCATAATTACCTTTAGAACTTCATCAAATACAGGGTTAAGAGTATGTTTCTTGACTTTTGTTTTTCGCTTTCCTGCTTTTGATTTATCTGGTAACAAATACACCTTAACATACCTAAAACAAAAATAACAGCAACTTCGAATTAATAGGTGAAGACATAATGTCAAGAATCCAGCATAGAGCAAAAAGATAAGAAAATTCTAAAAAGTTATTTTTCATTTTCGACTTTAATACTGAGAGATAGATATGAGATAAAGATTTTAGAGTGCAATACACAAAGATAAGTGAAACATATAATTATTTTCAAGGCGTATAATATGATGCCTCAGGATTTTCTTCTTTTCTCCTGATTTTGGGAGAACTCTCCTGCGTAAGATATATTTACGAGAGGCATAAAATTACATCAGGAAAGGAAAAAAGATTGTTTCTGGCTGACTGTAATTCTTCATTTTAATATAATAATGAGTTGTAATCCAGAGATTCAAAATATTTTCACATTATTTTTTTTTTTTTTTTTTTCAAAATATTTTTTTTTTTTTTTTTTTTTGTTGAGATTTTTGATTCAAAAAAAAAAATCCTTGAAATACAAAATCCATCTGATTTAGCAACCTTCTTTGAAAAATAATAGGCAATTCTTTCAAGAGGTATTTTCAGCACATTCAGCGCTACCCTTGTTTCAGTGATAAATCAAATCCCCCCCCCCCACAATGAACATCTATGCACTGATTGCTACACAGAAGTAGAGAAACTTAGAAGTAACTGAATAAAATTATAGAAGAGCTTACGCTTTGCAAATATGAGAAAAATAGTGAAAACTCAAGAATTTGAGAACTTCCAAAGGTTTAAACACTTAACTGGCAATAAAGAACAAAAAATTGAAAGTTGATTCTTGTGAGTATTAAATATTGCGATAGTCATGAGAGTGCTGGTGCACGAATGAGGGCAACATTACATGAGTAAATAAAATCAAAATACGGTAAAAAGTAAACGGTGAACATTTTCAATGATTCAAATGACATATTGTATTAAAATCAAATAAAATGCATGCTGACGGAGCAAAATACTTAAAATGAGATAAATGATGGAAAAATTCGCATGCTGAATAAGAGAACAACATACCCACAAAATCCGTAAAGAAACTCTGTTTAAGAGGGGAAAAAGAGATTAATCTATTGAAAAGAGGCATTTTAGAATTAGAAAATTGTTTGCTTGTTGTTTTTCTCTTTCAATGTTACCTTTTTATCCAGGAAGAGTGGAATATCAATGAAGGAATTTTCAGAGCCTCTTTTTTTTTAATTGGCTTCAAAAATTCTGTGAGACGAGTGTAAAAAAATAAAAGAAACTTTAGCTTAAAGTTAGAGAAATGACTATCATTTCAACAGAGGTAGATTTTACAAAGAGACCCCTAGTTTACAATATAACCGTTCAACTACTTCCCTCAACAAAGAGTATTCCAAAATTTAACCAACAAATACCTACATTTTATTTCAATTTTCACCTTTATAATAAAATAATCCCATCTTGAATTCAACGGTAGCTACATTAGGAAATACTGCAAAACATTCTTTACTGAAAATGCTTATTTTGATCTGAAATATAAGGGTACACTTTAACATAAAATCATTAGTCATGATGCTGTTTTATAAATCTTCGAAAATACCTAGGAGACAAATGGAAAATAATTCATTGGATACTTACGGATCAGATCTATTTCTTTTGGTATCTACAGCAGCCAAATCTCGACACTGCTTCACATGCACTTCTAACGCTCCTGCTTTGTAGTTGTAAAGTAGTCCAAACTCAACTTCTCCCTTGACTGTCACAGCACCATAACGACTTTCACCTGCTCCAGAATAAACGCTCGCCAAGGAATCACTGCGTGCCTAAACAAATCAAAATATGGGAATTAGCAATCGAGAATTCCAAATTTCTGACATCATACAATGCGCATTTTGAAGCTCAGAGTATTTATGCCCTGAAGTTCTTTTTCATCCATTGTTACAACTAGTGCTATCATAGAACGCAATTCAAATTTCTCAGGGTAGAGATTTTTTACTACTTAAGTAGTTCTCTTCGGTTTAGCTACGTCAAACTTAAACTAAAAACAGTCTATGAAAGGAAAGGGTACATAAAAACAATTTTAAAATATTTTGCCCTTGCTACTGTAAATTCTCCGCGAAATTCAGACCGGTACCTGTCGATTCCCATTACGTAATGGGAATCAAACTTCGGCACAAAGAGGACTCAATAAAGCCCTGATAAGAGAGGCCGATGAAAGCAAAATTGTGAGAAATTCATGAAATAAGCATGAAAAAACATAACTTATAACAGGAATTAGATATCATGAAAAAAAAAAATTGTTATTGCTGACAAACTAAAAAACCCTTTTCTCGCGTGTTTTTAAGTAAAGAAAATTAAGTTCAATTTTTTATAGAAATTTAAAGTAAATATATTGTAAAATTTTAAATTGCGCCTATGATAGTTAAGATTTATGCGAGATATTAAATGACTCTTCCGCATGAAATTTTACTGACTTCAGATGTTTTGCGTTACGTCACGAGAAGAAAAATGACTCAGAAAAATAATACAACAATTATGTATAACATTTGTTATTTATAAATAATTTTCTCCCGACTTTTCTCGTAATTTGGTCTAAAATGTCTAAAAATTCAATTAAAATAATCATAAGTTTCTTCAAAAATAAATATTTTCCGAGAGGCAATTTGGCAATTAATTTGAATACTCATACGGCGTTTTTCCTCTGCACGGCAGACTAGCCGCCTCTTGCGCACAGTGCTAGCGCACAGTGGATCGAGTCATTTAGAAAGATCGCTCATGAATTTTTTACTAAGACTGTAAATTTTGATGTTTATTTCGTCACATTTCATATTTCAAGGCATGTTTAAGGTAGCAAATTTTACGACCATTTGCATGGAAGCACTTTCAGAACCGTAGAGTTTGTACAAACGGAGTTTTAAGCGGTTAAAATTTCCAAATTTCGTCCCGCCTCTCCTATTGACTCGATCCACTGTGTGGCGCTAGGTCCACGAAGCGTATTCTCTGCTAGTGTATCAAGAGTCGAAGTTGTCAATTTGGTGGGATGACTTGCAAGATTCCCTGCTCAGAGCGATGACGCGGGGCAAGTGGATTACGCAAAAGGCGGGTTACTTTCGTTCTGGACGGGCGAAAAGCGTGAACCACCGGCACCGGCCACGGGGCTCGGGAAAAGAGGATGAGTTACGGACGTTTACGGATGCGACCGTCACACAGTGGATCGAGTCAATAGGAGAGGTCGGTCAAACTTTGGAAACTTTAAACGCGTATAACTCCGTTTATACAAAACTTTGAGGTTCTAAAAGTGGTTCCGTTGGTTTCCTCGTGGAATTTTCTTCTAGAAACACCCCTTATGACTTGAAATGTGACGCAAATGAACACCAAAATGTGCTGCTTTCGTCAAAAATTTCATGTCCGACTTCCCTGATTGACTCGAGCCATTGTGCGTCGTTCCGCGATACAGGTGGAGGCAGCCGAGTGAAAAACCGATATGTCACGTAACTCCCGCGAGTCATATGCCCGGAGAGAGAGATACAAGATCAGTAGCGTGTCGTGCTTTGCGATACATCGATTGGTCTACCATTTAAATCTATGGGGAAGGATCGATGAACAGAGAGTTCGCAACGAACACCTTAATAATCGATTCTTTAGCATAGCCTCAAATGGGGAAATATCGATAATCGATCATTCACGCCTCGCCACTGTACAAGATCCAACTTAAAAAAAAAAGAAGAGGGAAAACTCGGTACCCACTCGCCGTGATTTCACGTAGTTAAACCAACTAACTCCGACGGGGATGGGGACTTTCTTTTGAAAACAATCCATTGCATTTTTTGGTGTAGAATTTTTTTCATTTTAAAGGAAGAGGAAAGTAAAAACGAAGACCCCACCCCCCTCCTCTTACCCGGAGAATGGAGAATTTGTAGGTGCCTGGAATTTGATGAATTTCGCGTTTCAGTGGAGATTACTGAGTGAACTGAACACGAAGGTACTCTTGGTTCATAAATTGAAAAATTCTTGGAAGAGAAAGGAGCTATGACAAAATGAGCTTAACTGCTAAAATAGGTACACGTGTTTAAAGGGGAAATGTCACAAAACAAGGCCCCTACGCGGTATATTTTCTTCATTTTAAATTCATTTTCTATATTATTTCCTGTGTCAGAAGGAAATTATTAAAAATACTGTAAAATCGGCTGGGTAAGCACTCTTAGATGAGGCAATACGAAATTTGCGAGCGAATCCTCCATCAAGCGATATAATAAAACGTTTTGTAATAATAATTTTTTAAAAAAATGGTGTTTAAAATAAAGGCAAAAAATCGATACTTTCAAACTATAGATTACTTCGATTGTGGAGATTTCTTGGATACAAGGAGAAGAGAGAGGGCAAAGAGCAAGCAAAGAACAACGGAGGAAAAAAAGGGAGCAACAACACAACACAGAAAGTTGCTTCTTTATAAATTTTCAGGTTGTCTTGCTTTCCAAGTGACAAAATATTAAAATATCAACCAGTAATTAGTCCTTCAATTAGTATACTGCAAAGAAAGTAGAATGAAACCTTCACCTACTTCAGAAATGTAGATACTGCGGCGTAAACCTTCGAATACCTTGTAGAGATGGATGCTGAATTTATTGCTAAGAACTGTATTCCCGGCTGATAAACGTATGCTTCATCGGAAGCAGGGAGATGGATGAATTGAGGCGGGCCGACAGAATCGACCCAATCGAGAGAAAATTAAAAGAGCAATATGCGTTTTGAAACGTCAACCTTTCGGCTGGATTTCAGAAGCTCTGCATGAAGGTTTGCTTACTGGTCATATGAAGGGGCTCAGTAAGACGCCCATTGAGTGCTCATCAATCATTCTGCAACTATGAAAAAATAGAGAGCGGAGACGGAAAATGGGTTTCGTCAATGCGTGGGGAGAAAATTCTGCCAGACATTTTTCACGATGAGGTCTTAATTACGCGACTGAAAACGGGTGAAAAAACTGAAAAACAGGTCCAAATCCTGGACACGCAAGCGAAACTCTGTCGCGTCCGCTCGGCGCACAGTTTACCGGGACTCGGTTTCGTGGATGACCCGCACGTTTCTGAGGACGCGTTATAGTCACGAAAAAGGATTTTATTGTTGCAGCAATGCTTTAATACATCGTGGTTCCTTCAAAGTACTTATTTTTCCTCCCAAATCCACCTGTCATCGCATCGGTGCTGAGTACCGTTTTCCCCCGGTTTAAAGGGAATTGGGAATTTGATTGAAATTCTCAAAAGCTTTGGATGTTCGGAGTCGCGAAGTCCTTGAACTCTTTTTTAACTCGGTCCCGACATCGAAAACTGAAAAGCTACACGTTTTACCCCAAATTGGTTTTTCTCCCTGCATTTTAAAATTCGAGTTTCCAAGTTAAAGACCCGACTCTATAAAAATGTAAAGTCAACGAAAGAAACCTAGTAAGCGCTGTTGGGTCTTGCTGAGATTGTGAAACTGCCTTTCATTGAACAGGAATCCAATGGTCTGATAGAGATAATTCTTATCATGGAAATAAGGCTAAGATTTGGAGACAATTTCTCAAAAAGAAGTCGACGAAGCGAGGGCATTCGAGGCCCTTTGGCAATCGGAGCACCATAAACATATGTCGCAGACAAATAGGAAAATCAGACATTTTGTCAAATGCCTCCGCAAATATTCAAATAATCTAAATCTTAATCACAATCTTAATTTGTGTAATCTTTATTCCCGTTTGTGACTCCATGAGGGGTTGTTGTTTTAACTCTCAGTATAAAGGGACTCTAGTCCCTAGGAAAGGGAAAAGGGTGAATTTGGATAAAAGGGATACTTACTCCAAGGGAGACCCTGGGGGAGGTGGAGGCGGAGGCAGGGCTAAGCGGCTCCTCGTCGGCACTGAGCCGGCTTCCTGATCCCGGCTCGGAGCACAAGCTTACGTCATCGCCAACTGAAACACACCAAAACACACATGAGCCACAGCCACATACGGGTTACAGGTTACAACACTCGTTATGCAACCACCGCACCAGCACCACACGCCGCACGCCACACGCCACCGACCGCGGCCGGGCCCGGGGTTGTCCGCGCCTTTCAGCCGCTTCGGTCGCGCCCGGCTCGAATGTGGATCGGGGTGGCTGCACGGGATAAGAAGAAAAAAAAATAAGGAAATGAGAGAAAATTAAATGAGTAAAATTGGGATTTTTGTGTAAAAGTTGTTTTTTTTTGTTTTTTTGTTTTTTCTTTGTTTTTTTGTTTTTTCTTAAATGTGATTTTTTTTTTAAATGTGATTTGATTTGGCTTCTAGATACTCTGAAAAGTGATCATTTTCAGCTTCATCGTCCATTTTCGATTTTTCGCTCTATGAAAAGTTCATACGTAGGAAGTTGATGACGAGTTTATAAGAGCACGTCACTTGCAAAAATCCGACAAAATACGGCCCTTGGGGCTGCAAAAAGTGCGAAAATATAAAAATTGAGAAAATATAAAAATTGAGAAATATCCCTAACTTGTGGAAGAAAACTGGAAAGGTAATAGTGGTTTCTGTTAGGAGCTTCGGAAAGAGAGAATAATGCTCTGAAATCAAACCCCTAGAAATTTGCAACTTCTGTAAACGTAGCTTTTTCCTAATTTTTGGATTATTTCTTCACTCTTCTCTGAATTTTCAAGGTTTTCCTTGACCACTGATTTCCCTGATTCCTCGATTTTTCCTTACTGAGACGATCCCGCAGAACTTCGCTTTTTCCTCTTGCAATCCTACGATCCTAACCTCAGTTATGATCACAGCGTTCAATAATAAATACCCTTCTGCACCCGAGTGTGAGAGATTGTCCTATCTGATCCGCGATTTAAATGTAGCATCGGCGAGAGGAAAGAATCGCCAAATTTCACATCGACCTGCTGTGCAGCACTCATCAGTTGGCCCGTTGGTTGGCACGCAAATTTCTGTCGAATGGTGCCATTTTCTGATGTGACATTTCGTTGTTCCTCTCACAAAAGAAAGTAACTACATTTAAATTTTGCTAGAATTCCCTTCGTAAATTGCGTGTTCATCCGGAGAATCTTACGCATTTCTGACTGAAAATAGCACTGATTTTCCCTTTAAACTCATGCAAAAATCAGCGAAATTTTGGACAAAATTGCACAGGTACATTTTTATTGAATTTAATTACTTGGGTCAATCTTTCAATCTCGGAACCAGTGGCGTGGCGTGCTTTGCTATCTATCGATATTTCGCCATTTGAAACTGTGGTAAATAATCAATTATTAAGGTGTTCGCTGCAAACACCCTATTTATCGATACTTTTCCGAAGATTTAAATGACCGATCAATCGATACATCGCAAATCACGCCACGCCATTGCTCGAAAACGGTGTTACGCTGTTATGTTCCTTCGACGATTTGAACGTATTTCTGTTAAACGTAACTATGTGCATTATTACGTGAGCCCTGTTATGCATGTATTCTTATGGGTCTCAGGACTCGTGTCTTAATGCACATAGTTCTGTTTGGCAGAAATCCGTCCATTTGTCCATTCTTTCCTTTTCCCAGTTCTGGCACCACCGACCACCGGTGGTTATTATATTGCTTTCTGTCGTTACTGTTTGTCTGGCGTCGCGTCGTCGGTCGACGTCAGGGCTTCTAGATGTGGCGAATCGCGAAAAAACCGCCGCTCTCCGCGCATCCCGCCGCACAGTGGATCGAGCCAATAGGAGAGGTCGGACAAAATTCGGAAACTTTAAACGCTTAAAACTCTGTTTGTACAAAACTTTGAGGTTCTAAAAGTGGTTACATTGGTTTCCTCGTGAAATTTTCTTCTTGAAGAACCTCTGAAAGTTTAAAAAGTGACGAAAAGAAAATCAAAATTTGCAGTTTCAGTCAAACAGTTCATGCCCGACCTCGTAGAGTACCTGTCTACGGGAGAGTATTGCCATCTCTGTGCCGCTCTCTGATTGGTTCATCAGTTTTAGGTCATCGTGGAGCTTCAAAGTTGGCCCAATGTAAACAAACCCGACCCAGAGGAACACGTAGTATTATCGGCTGAGAAATGAATGATAATCACACTCAAGGCTTAATTTTCGGCAAAAATATTCATTAAAGTTCGATTCGAACTCAATTCAGAAGTTGGATACAAAAAATTTCCATCGAACCCAAAATCATTTCAATAACTTTGTGGAACTCTTTCGCCATCTTGTTTGTTTACATTGGGCCAAAGTAGGAGCGGAGGGGCTGGGGTTTGTTTACATTGGTTCAACTTTGGGGCTCCATGATAACGGACGAATCAGAGAGCGGCACAATTTAGAGTACCTGTATAGGGAGAGTATGGACAACTCGATTTACATAGCTCTTAGGGCCCAAAAGGGTAGGTAACCTTTGAAAACGAAAAATATCACTGCCAATCTTAATACTCCAATATCAGACCAAAATTGACAGAAATGTTCATAAATGAGCGTTCTTCCGCAAAAATGACTAAATTTATGCAAAAACTGAGTTAAATAAGTGCTTTACCAACGACAGTTCCTAACAATTGTACTAATTAATCACTCTGGATAATTTGAATTCATAGACTGCCTACCCTTTTGGGCCCTAAGAGCTCCATCACCTAACCTTAAAATTTCCGACAAGTCCATACTCTCCCTGTATAGGTACTCTAGCACACTTTTTCTGTGAGTAAAAGGATTGAGGCGGCAATACACTCCCGTATACAGGTACTCTACTGCCGTGCTAAGGAAGAACGCCGTATGAACCCTCGGGCGTTACCATATTTCCTTTGATAAAACACGAATTTCCTGGTAAACTTATGGATATTTTCCTTCCAATTTTGCAGATAATTTTGTCCACAATTTCACCCAAAGTCCCTGAAAATTTCAAGAGAAAATATTCGTACCTTTCCTCAAAAATAAACATTTTACCGAAGGAGATTTGGCGACTCTCGAATGTTCATGCAGCGTTCTTCCTTAGCACGGCAGTCTACGACCTCTCTTATTGACTCGGTACACTGTGCGCCGACGGAAAACGGGCTTTCCCCGAACTTTGGCATCGCGGTACAACTTTTGTGTTCGGCGCGTTTCAAGGCCGCTCCGTGTCAATCCGCCGCGGATTTTCCAGCACGAAAAGTGCCGCTCGCACGAAAGCCGCAAATTTTAATTGGTCTCCGTCGAACAGTTTCGGAAATAATGGAGGGGCGACGATTGGGGGGAGAGGAGGGGCGCTAATGACTTTACGAGGTTGATGACTCACCGCGATAAAGTGTCGTGCAACGAGAGCAAGGGTGTAAAGCTCGAGTGGCAAGGAATCAAAGTAAATCGACACAAAAGAACCGATTGAAATATTAAAATTGGAGGGGGGAAAAGTTGAGATAAATAATTAACTCTTAAAACTGTCCTTTCTGCAAAACCTGGATACAATACTGCCGTGCTGTAGAAAAACGCCGTATGATCATTCGAGAGTTGCAAAATTTCTTCCGATAAAATTTTTATTTTCGAGGGAAGTTATCAATATTTTTCCATTAAATTTTTAAACTATTTGGATCGACTTACGAACGAAATTCTCTGAAAAATCAAAAGAAAAATGTTTATAAATATTCCCATATATTCGTGATTTATCAAAGGAAATTTGGGAAAGCCTGAAGGCTCGTACAGTGTTTTTCCTTAGCACGGCAGAATAGATATAAAAGGATACATCTAAAATTACTTTGTACTTGTTGACTTGCTACTTAATATCAAGTTCATTTTATATTATGCAGATAGATACAGGTGTATATTTTGCAGGAGTTGGACTTCTTTTCCATAGAATTTTGTTGAAATCTTCTTAAGAACCCCGAGACTTTCTTAAAGTGGGATCGCGAATTTCCTGAAATTTTCAAATTCTGTGATTTTCCTAACTTTTTAAGGTTTTCGAGACAAAAAGACCCTATCTTTCTTAGGATGTTCGCAAAGAATGAGATTCTCCTCAAAAGCATATTTACTACAAAAATTATCTATCGAAAGAAAAAAATGTATCATCGGGGCCATTCAAAAATTTTCATGGGATCAGACTATTCAAGGTTCCACGGTAGAATTCCTCGTTTTCGCCCGATTTTTCGGGGTTTTGTAAAATTTACTGCCTTTCACAAAAATTCCCTGGCATTTCAAGATACTGAATGTGTGATTGTGGCGTAAGAATTTAAGAGCTCGTGAATAGGTTCATGCGTTTCAAAAGATTCTATCATTGCGTTGGTGTACCATGAAAAAGACTCCTTCGTAGTGTCGTTCTAGGGGTGTTAAAATTATGCCTTTATGGCCATAAATTTATCAAAGCCTCCCGCTTTTCAATTCAGTACCGACTGTGAGGCGATTTGATATGATTCATGACTTGATTGGAAGAAAGCTACAAGTACGTGGAATCCAGAGAAGAGAAAAGTAGCCAGACTTAATATGGAGAGCTTAAAATCTCGGAGACAGGGAAATTAATTCATGGAAAAATAATAAATTCAGTCACGGAGATTTCTCTTTATGACGAGTTTGCGTTTGAGTCACTGAGCGATTTGAAGTCATGTTTGAGCCCATTTCATAGATCTCATAAAAAGTCAGTGTCGAATGGAAATGCAATTTCAAAAACCTAATTTTCGAACGAGACGTCCTGCGTGACGGCAGATTCTAATGATTAGTTTTTTTTAGAAGCGCTCGTTAAAAAGTCCGAACATTTTTTGGCTGTTCTCATTTTAACTAACTAAAATCAGTGAGAGAGAGGAGATTTAATTAAAATATGGGTAAACAAGGCTAAAAAATGATTAAAACCCTAAAAAGCAGGACGTTTCGTGAGTGGTTACGTGATAACGGCTGGGATCAGGTCGCCTCTCAATTTTTTACTTGTTTTTATGTGTTTTTGCAGCTGAAAATGAGGTGGTAACTGCTCGAAACGTCCTGCCTTTAAGTGTTTTAATCATTTTGTAGCCTTGTTTACCCATAT